TGGGTTCGATCCCGGCCCTGACACCTATATATTTGGGGTTTGCGTGTCTCTTTCTCTCTCTCCCCTTTGTCGCGTGGATTTTTCTCCGGGTCCTCTGGGTTTTTTCCTGCACATTTAGAAACATGCGTTTTCAGTGTTTGGCTGCTATAAATTTCCACATGATAAGCAAATTTGTTGTGCTATCATTTGTGGCCAAGTTGTTTCTGAAAAAGACCGATATAACTCAGTGGGCCTTGCCTGGTAAAATAAAAAAGTTTAGTATCCCCCCCCCCCCGCGATTCGATGAATTTCCCCAATTCGCTTTAGCAGATTATGAATTGATGGTTTATCTCCACGTTCCTAAAATGTAACGTTCGCGATTCGTGAGCATGTGAATCGATTATAATCGAATCGATTATTTACCGCCCGTGCAAATTGCATGCAGATTTACAAGTATGTGCTCATGTTACATTGAGGCCACTGAATCAAACAGCGTCATACGAACAGGATACAATGTTAGAAGAAACAATACGAATGAGGTGGTACAAGAATTTTACCCAAAAAAATTATTGAAATTATTCTTGGAACAAATAATGTTTGCGGGATAGCCATCAATCTTTACGATCCTCATCCGCACCTCCGATTCGCACGGTTGGCCACATACGGTGCGAAAGAAGTTCTACATACATACGTACACACGTCTTTATATCTAGTACACGATTGCAAAAGAGACTACATTTTTCCAATGAGATTTTCACCTCGTTCTAGGCGATTTCATCGATTTGGCTTTACCGAACGGAATTCCCTCTCGGACGGATTGCCGGCAGCGTCTGTCCGCTCCGGGAGTGCTGCGTTGGCCCATGAATGAATATCTTTGTCGAACTCGACTCCTCGTGTATCGACCCCCCTCCGCCGCCTCCTGCCCCCCTCCTCCACCCTCGCCACTCCCCCGTTTCACACAACCGCCGTTCTGTGAAAGCAAACTTCACTGCGGAGATTCCATTCGGATGAAATAAATGTGGAAAAAATAAAAAATGCTCTCTTGACACCACTATGTGATGGTGAGCCATGCTATTTCCCGGCAGGCGAAAACTGATTTATTTGGGGCCAGCGTTGGGGTCGTTGCTGAGCAAGTGGCGGGGCACGCGTGTGTTTTATGTGACCGCGCTCGATTTGTCGGGGAGAATCATGCGAAACAAGGGAGGCGGGGGGGGGGGTCGCGTAGGTGCCAAGCGGTGTTTAAAGTTGCTCAAGCAAGAGTGGACATCTAACACGATTTGGCTTTCGTGTTCGGTAACATGACTTGTCAATGGTGGGTAATTGTGTTTCGCTCGCCACGCTGAAAAGACCGGACGCTTGTGTGTTTGTGTGCAATTTGAGTGGGACACTTGTGTGTATGCGTCGGTGACGTCATGTGGGTGGGTTGATGTGTGCGTGTGTCTCTTTGTGTGGGGTTAGTTGGCACAGTAGAGGGCGCAGGTGGTGCATCGGCCAGTCATCTGTTGGTCAACCCATGGCACCTGGCTCTGTCCCGTGACCTCCTGCCAGCGGGCGTTCGACACTTCACATGGCCTTAACGTGCACATAGCCTGGCACAAGTGGCAGTTGTTGTTGTATGTGTGGGGAGTGGTAGTTTAGTGGTTAGAGCGCTGCGCTACGAACCCAGCCACCCGAGTTCGATTCTCGCTCACGGCCTACACCAGTGACGATTATATATCTGAACTGGTCCTGGGCCTCCCCTAGGACGACTCAGCTTCAAATGAGTACCTGGTGTAGTGTGTAAACATCACCACTGGGAAGACAAAGGCGGTTGGGCATGATGATGACCACCCACCCTGTCGTGTGCCGTGCCGGCCTTTATAGGTGCTCGCTAACAGCACTTGCCCCAAACAGTCTGTTCAGGCTATACGGGAGATCTTTATTTTTGTGTGCCGTGTGAGAGCGATGGTGCAGTGCTAGCGCACTGCTCTGCGAACCCAACGATGTGAGTTTAATATCCAGCCATGGCTGTAACTGCAGTGGCAAGTGACATCACAACCAGTCCCATCCTGCCAGCTCGATCGAATCGGACTCCCTTGTTTGAAACCAAAAATGTTATGGCATAAAGCCCTTCATTCTTGTACCGCTACTGAACTCGCCAGCCAAAAACATTAAGTTCCCAAAGCAAAGCAGCAAAATACCAAAACGGCTATCTCACGCGGTAAACATAAAACATGCGATTGGAAAACAAAAACTGGCGGCTGCGTTCACAAGTTCGTCAACGTTGACGTCATGATGCTTGCACGTGTGATGGTGAGCGTGGGCGTTAAACGACGCGTGTCCGTGCGCGCGTGTTCCCTGGGAGGGAGTGGTTTGTGCGGGGAGCGGCCGACTCGATGCTGCGCGCTCCGGCATGCGGTGACACCGACGCGCGCGCCCGCAACGCCGCCACTGCCGCCGCCGAGACCAGGGACAGGGGAGGCGCGCCAGCCAGCGAGATGTAGCCTCGGTGCACCTAGCCTGGCGTGGTTGGCTACGTACCGTGGCTACGCACGGTGCGAAAGAAATTCGACATACGTGCAACAAACTTTAGAATAAAAAGCAATTAGTTTTCAATCTAGATTTAAAAGTGCTTAGCTCCAGTGACTTCCTAAATGAGTCTCTGGTGTGGTATGTAACCATCGGCACTGGAGAGACGAAGGCGGCCAGGCTTGGTGTTGGCCTTAATAGGTGCTCGCAAACAACAGTTGCCAATATAATTGTGCAACTGACCCTCGGTTTCTATATGCAGAATGAAGTTTCCCCGAATGGATATTTTGCGTTCACCCTCTTTTTGTCCATCACCAACTCGACGTCTGCCCATTGAGTAGGAGGCTTTTTATTTCCTTGTGACCCTGGAAAGGCCGGTTTGTGCGCAGGAGTCATTTCCACGTGGTGAGAAAATGAACGTCTAATACAGTCCATTCGGCAAGGTGGAGTGAATAATGTCACAGCTTCCGAGTGAAACTTTCAAGGAGAATTTCCCTGCGCGGGTTGACTTGTCGAACGCCGCAAGCTGCGATGATTTGTGGAACTCTGCAAGCTGCAGTGGCCCTGCGGTTTGGTTTAGGGTGGAGTGGGCGGGCGTGGGTAGGTCTTATTTTTTTTCATAAACCACGAGCACGGCGGTGTTGTCCCGGTTGCCGTGGAAAAAGTCCCACATCTGTTGCCGTCCCTGGCCAGCGTCCGACGGGCGTACCGCCGGAAGGTGGGGGGGGGTTGGACGTTAGCTGAGTGAGCTGTTAGGTATTCGAGGGATGCGAGCGAGCGAGCTCACTCGCTCCATTCGTGTCACGCAGCTACGCTCTCCTGCGAGCCCGCGCGCGCGCCCACCCGCCCGCGCCTCCGTTGGAACTCTGTCGAGCGGAGCTCGCACTGGGAATGAGGTTAAGGCAGCGGCTACTCCTACCGCTGCCGTCTTGCTACGCAAAAGCCAAGCTGGAGTCGAACTACTTTAAGAAACTGTTTCGGAAAAAGTCGAGCGCCTATCAGGTTTCGCCGGTGGCCTCGAGGAAAAGAAGGAAAGAAGGTAACAAAAATAGCGTCGCGGAAAGTGATATTGCTTAGTGTCGAGTTTGAACGCAGCTACCGGGCGTGTTGTCTGTGAAGTCAATTACCGAATTGGTAATTAATGCTGCTATTTAAGAGAAAATGTACAATTAAGCTGACATTTGACCATTTATTTTGTTTAATTTACACCATGTCTTGTTTTATTGTCTTTTCATATCTTACGTACACTTTAGTTCATTCACGGATTCTAGATGTAACACGAGTGTATCACCCCCATATAGTCGCTGCAATCGTAAATAATAAATCGATTCTCGCTCACCCGATCTATGTATCTGTAGTGTAATAATTCATTTCAGTCTACGAATTGATGCATCGTTCATCATCATCTTCAGCCGCATGAAGGCCCTCCAAGTCGTAGCCATGTCTCACGAATTTGCGATGCAACGGTCCATCCTGTTTCCAGACGGATCGTTACACGGCTAATGCAGTACAGTAGGTGGGCAAACTCCTTGCTGTACTGTCGCCTATGACCGGGGATTCTTTTTTCTCTGAATATTTTCCAGGTCACCGGTAGGCAGGAGTGATCACGTGACTAGTTGCCACAACACCATTGGAACCTCATTTGCCAGTAAAAAATATGATAATTGTTTTTTTACCCTTCTATCTGGCAACAAAACTGACACCTTTTTTTACAAGGAGTGATGTTTGTATAGACCACAATACCTGCAGTCATAATGCAAAAAAAAACATAACTCTGTTAATGTATGCACTGTCCTTGAAGTTGATTGGTCCACACCCAAGACAGCTTTCCTTAGAGCCTAGTCTCACATGGGTTGGACCAGATGACGCCAAAAGGCGCACACAACTCAGAGCGAGAGGTTGGTGTGCAGGATGAGGAAGTTTGTTTTCCTGGATCGCTGACACGGACAGACCCGGTTGACATCAAGTCGCATTGTGACTCGCACCCAATGCTACGGCGCTTCCTTCGGCCCTCAAACAGTTAACGGCGAAATTTCGATGTAAAGCTTTCGTGACTGCAGGGATTCATCTTCTTGGTTCTTTCGGTAAAGTCACGTAGAAGGGAAATAATAAAATAATAAAAATAAAACATAATAAAATTATTCTCACGACGTTTTGGCCACAACGCAAGCAGCCGTCCTCAGGTGAAGAACAGGTCTGTCGGAAAGACAGACCTGTTCTTCACCTGAAGACAGACGCTGTCTTTCCGACAGACCTGTTCTTCACCTGAAGACAGACGCCGTCTTTCCGACAGACCTGTTCTTCACCTGAGGACGGCTGCTTGCGTTGTGGCCAAAACGTCGTGAGAATTATTTTATTATGTTTTATTTTTATTATTTTATTATTTCCCTTCTACGTGACTTTACCGAAAGAACAAACAAGAGTTAACGGCGAGTTACGATTCCCCCCTCCCCCGTGTCCCGTGCCGCGTTTTCACTGTGGCCCCCCGACCCCCTCGCGTTCTCTTCCGCCAGAAGCCCTGCACCGGCCCGGCGACGGGGATGGAGACGGCCCGAGCCTCCGGGAGGCCGTGCGCTGGAACTCCAAGGAGAACCTCCTCTCCGTCCCCGGGGACCCCGACGACACAAACCTCTTCGTGGCGCTCTACGACTTTGTGGCGAGCGGCGACAACACGCTCAGCATCACCAAAGGTCTCGGAGAACTGACTTTGTGTGTTTTCGTTTGTTGTTCTTTCCCCGCACCTCCCATTTGGCACGGTCGGCTACGTACGGTGTGAAATAAGTTCAACATACATACAAGGGTCTGAGTCAGATCCCAAGCAAGGACAGGAGTGCGTTTAGTATTTACACCGTTTCTACAGTGCAGGGCGCTTTCAACTTGTATGTATCGCCTGTAGTGATTTCACATGCATTAAGCGTGGCTTATGTAACACTTACCAGCATGGGTTTTCCTTTGGAACTATTTGATTAGCGTTAAGAAAGTGGAAAGGTTACTGATGGGGCAAATGCATTAACATATTTGCAAATAGTCTTTATTGGTCTGGCTTACATGTCCAAAATATTGACAATGCTTTTCTGAAGATGGCCAGTTTTCGTTCTCCCAAGTCCCAAATAGCTACACGACTTTGCGCAAGGGTTTTGTTTACCTTGGACGATCTTTACGAGAGTTATCATGTCCCTTTCGTTACTGGCAGACAGACAGCGATAACGAAAAAAAAACACAAAGGGAAGTGTCAAAAACGCACGTCCTCATTCCCATCTTCTCTCTCTCCCCCTGCAGGCGAGAAGCTGCGCGTGCTCGGCTACAACCAGAACGGCGAGTGGTGCGAGGTGCACTCGCGCAACGGGCAGGGCTGGGTGCCCAGCAACTACATCACGCCCGTCAACAGCCTGGAGAAGCACTCCTGGTACCACGGCCCCATCTCGCGCAACGCCGCCGAGTACCTGCTCAGCAGCGGCATCAACGGCTCCTTCCTGCTGCGCGAGTCCGAGAGCAGCCCCGGGCAGCTGTCCATCTCGCTGCGCTGCGAGGGGCGCGTCTACCACTACCGCATCAACACGGCGAGCGACGGCAAGGTGAGGCCGCCACTACCACCACCACGACCACCCCCACGACCATCACCACGACCACCCCCGCGACCACCCTAACGACCATCACCACCACCACTACCATCACCACATCGACACTGCCAGCTATGGCAAAGTGGGACACCTACCACAATCGCACCGCGACAGTTATACACGCAGTGTGGTGATGTCGTGTGCGCGACATGCAAGGCATGCTGCAAGGACCCACCTTATGATCACAGTCGCACCTTTTGCTGTTCATTATCAACTCGTGTGTATTATACTCCTCTTCGGGGAGTGCTGCACTAACACATCTACCAAACGTATACCACACCTCCGCAGTAGTGTTACCCGACACGACCCCCCGCAACACTGGCTGTGGGAACACAAATTTGGGAACGCACGTTGACGGTCAAACAAGTTCAGAGTCTGCAGAGTGGCGCGAGAGGCATTCGGCGTTCTTAGCCTTGGGTCAAACTCCTGGAGTCGGCGTTACTTTTCAATCCACACTCAAGGGAGGGGTGGGGAGGGGGGGGTGGAATTTCACTGCAGTGTGGTAGCTCGAATTTTTATTGACTTTATAATGTTAAGATGTATAACAGTGCAAAGCCATGGAAACGTCAAGATGAATGTGGCTGCTGCTGTTGCTGCTAGGAGGTAGCCTGCTATGTCATTTGCTGCACAGGGCAGCTGCAGGAGCGGGGCTTTCAATTAGTTGGGCGCGGGGTGAGAGGAATTCCGCGGGTTGGAGGCTCGTCTTGGCTTGTCTCAAGACACGCGGTGCAGACCTGCAGCCGTGGGCTGGTGCGCGAATGTGTCAACTGGCCGGTCATAGGCTCCGAGCAAGGAACGGCATGCCTTGCTGGCAGTATCGTCAAATTGCTCATTTTTCAGCTGGATGATTTGTTTTTTGATCTTCTGCCGGGCGTGATGGCGCACGCCTGTAATTCAGTGCTGTGGTGGGTAGGGTTGGTGCATTTACACGCCGACTTGTGACACTCGGAAAGCCGCTAGGCTGTGACGTGCCTGTGAGGTGGCAGTACAGCAAGTGGGTTCATAAACCCATCTGTGTGGACCTCTGAGCCTCATCTTGACTTGTGGGTTCCCCACCCTGCTTATCTTGGTGTTCTTCAAAGCAAAGCGCAACTCTGCTGAAAATTTTATTTGGCCAAACTTTGCAATGCAAGGTAATATCCTGCACTGTATAAAAAGAACTATATCAATGGAAATGTTTGGAAACTTTTGCAGTGCAATTTTTATTTTCATCAATAGTAAAAGTGGCTTCATGTGACCATAAGAGAATTGCATAGAGCCGAGCGTCAAGATCCTTTTCCAAGCATGCATGTATTATCGCATTTATTAGACGTGGATGTGCACACGTGCGTCTGCGGATGAGTCAGATCCTAAGCAAGAACAGGAGTGCTTTTGGTATTTACGCCGTTTCTACAGTGCAGGGCGCTTTCAACTTGTGTGTATCGCCCTGTAGTGATTCCCCCCCCCGCACCTCTCCACCTCTGCAGTACTTCGTGAGCTCGGAGAGCCGCTTCAGCACGCTGGCCGAGCTGGTGCACCACCACTCGAGCGTGGCGGACGGCCTCATCGTGCCGCTGCACTACCCGGCGCCCAAGCGCACCAAGCCGACGGTGTACGGCGTGTCGCCCACGTACGACCGCTGGGAGATCGAGCGCACAGACATCACCATGAAGCACAAGCTCGGCGGAGGGCAGTACGGGGAGGTCTACGAGGGCCTCTGGAAGAAGTACAGCCGCACCGTGGCCGTCAAGACTCTCAAGGTGAGGGAGGCGGAGCATGGAGGGGGGGATTGAATTATCACAGGAATAGCTTCTTCCGGGTCACCGGTAGACAGGGAGTTTGTTTACCCAGGAAAGCCTCATTGAGTTTCAAAAAGTATATTTTTCAGAAGGGTCCTGCCAAATGTCCCAGTAGGGTATGACGATTGCTCCCTGTAATCCCAATTGAGTAACTTGTGGGTCATTTTTGTAAATGTGGACCGTGATGACTGCACACTACGGCCTACTACTTGCGAAAGAAGTATTGGGGGAACTTACGGCTCTCCTATGCCTGCAGTGACAAACCTTGGCAGCTGCCGGATTCAAACTGTTAACCACTGCAACAAGTGTTAAACACACTCCCGCTAGACCAGTCACTGCCCCTAGGTGGCACTGATAGAAGGCTTTGCTAAGCTCTGCTCAGCACAATAAGCAGTCATAATAATGATCTACAGTTCTCTCTGCTGGGCGGCTGCTTGGTTGAAGGTCTCGCCACATCTCCACTTTGGTCAAGGGGGTGGGGTTTGACCATATTTCACCACGCGTTGGTCATTACGGGTTGGTGAAGGGGGAGTGCTGTTCAGATATCACTCGCCACTGACAGCCGTGGTCGGGAATTGAAAGCGAGGCGCTAAGTATGTCTGTCCAGATAAGCCAAAATTATTGGGTCAAAGGCCAAATTAGTTTTCTTTGAAATGTCTACACCGTTTGCATTAATTGTGGCAGGCTTTTATATGACATCTCATTGGCTGAAATTGTGGCATTTTTTAGGAAGTGTCCAACGGACGTATAGATTTGTGACCGATCCATAAACGACTACCATCTTGACTTGCCTAGGAATTAGCTCCTACAGTCTTCACCCTTTCGTATGGTGTTTGGTGACTAACTGTGGTTTGGCAAGTGTACCGTTTTTATACCCACACCTCTCCTTTTCAAAAGAGAGATTGTCTGAACTTGGCTCCGCTTTCTAAACGGAGCATGTGTGTTATTCATTCCATTCATTCTTTCGGTACAGTGAGACTGTCGGGGCAAGTGCTGTTTTCGCGAGCACCTATTAGCAGCTCGTAACGTGAAGGAGACTTAGCGACGGTTTCAGCACCGCGCCCCCAACTGTCTTCATCTCTGCGCTGCTGCTGCTGTTGACATGGCCCCCGACTGAGTCATTCTAATCTGTGTCGGCTTGCGGAAGGCCCCATGTATGGCAGATAAGTCATATCCGCTGACACATTGGTCACAGCGATTTGCGAGGGTATTGCTGCCTCTCATCCTTGCTCGTAGACGGTGTCGCATTGTTATGTACATCTGAATAGCGATGGCGGTGTCAACAGCGCAACCGTGCGGTTTTGTTTCCTTAGTCTGACAGGCGTGCGACCAAATTACACGGAATGCGCCCGGACTTGTCAGACCTCGGAAGTTAAGCAGGATTGAGCCAGGATAATTTTGGGATTAGTAACCACCGTGCACATCAGTTTATTATTGCCTACTGCGGTACTACTTGATGGCCAGCAGAGGAGACGTTTGTAGCCAAACCCATTGGTTGTACCAACACTGTGCCGTTCACATCTGTGCCCCCAACCGTGTCACCAAACCCCCCCCCCACTGACCAGCATGGTGAAGCTTGGTCAAAGAACCTCCATGGACCCACACCCAGGGCATGGAGGGGGGGGGCGCCTTCAGCTAGCCCTGGATTGACAATGGGGCTTTACATGGTACACTTAAATGCATCGCAACTCGGCTTGAAAGCATTTAAACCATTCTCTGCGCGCCCATTGGAGGTGCACGATAACGCTCGTAAAGGTGGTGCGTTGTGAGGGCGCCTGTATAGTTGTGTTGCTGTTGGGAGCAGCAGAGACTCTGCGGGTTCCTTCCTTTCAAAGTGAGCAGCAATGATGACGGTAGTGGAGCTAAAAATATATTTATACTTAGGATGTAACTGGTATTGGCCAAACACATTCCCATGCTGAAAAATCACCTGCATATTACTCAACTGTAATCTACATAAGCAATCATCGTGCCACCCCTCCCCCCCTACTGCCAAAACTTAGCGGGGACCTTCCAGAGAATGAGTTTGGTCACTTCAGAGAGTTTCCTGGGCAAACGAGCACAGCGGCGGCAATTGGCGAGGTCGGTATCACGCACCCACCTCGAACACTGCGTGTTTTTGTTTTGCTCAGGAGGACACGATGGAGGTGGAGGAGTTCCTGAAGGAAGCGGCCATGATGAAGGAGATCAAACACCCCAACTTGGTGCAGCTGCTCGGTGAGCAATGTGACGATTCCCGCTCGGGATCCAGTGTTTAAAAATGTGACTACGACGGGACGACCTTCACTACCACCACCATCGTGCTCGCCTTTACCAGAACACATCACCTTTAAACGTTAACAATGAGAGTTTGCGGCGAGACACCTCCGAGTGCTTTAAACGCGATAACTGCTTTGTGTGTTTAGTTTGTTGTTCCTCCCCTGCACCGCCAATTAGCACGGTTGGCTACGTACGTATTATACGAACCGCAGCCGTCACCACCCACCACGGCACTTGGTTTGCAAGAACTCCAATCTCGCCCGACCACATGCAAATGATGTACTTGAAACGCTGGACATGGGAAATGATCGGTAAACATGCAAAGTTGCGGGACGAGTGGAGTCGATGCGTCCCCCGGGTGCTTGCATTTCTCCCCGCTGACGCTTGTGCGCACGCTTGCTCCTGTGACGCGTGTGCACACAGGCGTGTGCACGCGGGAACCGCCCTTCTACATCGTCACGGAGTTCATGACGCATGGGAACCTGCTCGACTACCTGCGCGAGTGCAACCGTGACGAGGTGACGGCCGTGGTGCTGCTCCACATGGCCACGCAGATCTCCTCTGCCATGGAGTACCTGGAGAAGAAGAACTTCATTCACAGGTAGGGGAGGGCCGTGATTGGCCAATGAAAGGGGGAAGGGGAGGGCACATTTCCAAAACGTATTCCGTGTGTGTTGTGAGACGAAGTCTCCTGATAGTTCTCCCTATAGCACATCTGTGCAACCCCCCCCACCCTGCCTGCCTGTGCAATAGACCGGCCCACAGAAGTGGATATGAAAGAACTACTTTCAAGTGACCACTTGTTCTGCACAGTACAGGCCAGCGCTTTCCTTCCTCCCGTCACTTAGAATGAAGTTCATAGCCAGATTGTCAAATGCTGATTTCATTCTCAGAGCTGGAATTTAGGCAAATTTAGTGTCGAGACAATTTAAATGTGGTGGCAGGGTGGGAGTGGGAGTTAGTTGTGCATTCAAATCTGTGACCAGGCTGAGGCCAGCAAACTTACTCCACTTGAGAACCCGCTTTAAAAAAATTATAATTAAAAACAAAAATCGCAGGCAGTGCCTACTTTCAAACATTAGGATCACAGCTGCTGCCAGCTCTGCATCCAACCGCCTAGAGAAACGTGGCCACTTCCAGCCCCTCCCCTACTACCACCACCATCGTCGTCACCACCACCACGCCGCTGAAACCTGGCGTGTCCCCATGTCTCGTGTCCGTCGCAGGGACCTGGCGGCGAGGAACTGCCTCGTGGCTGAGAGCCACATGGTGAAGGTGGCCGACTTCGGGCTGAGCCGGCTCATGACGGGCGACACCTACACGGCGCGCGCCGGTGCCAAGTTCCCCATCAAGTGGACGGCGCCCGAGAGCCTGGCCTATAACAAGTTCTCCATCAAGTCCGACGTGTGGGGTGGGTTGTCATAGCATGTAGATATGTGTTGAGCTTCTTTTGCATCCTACGTAGCCAACCCTGCTAAATTGGAGGTGTGGGAAAGAATTGATATTTAGCGGTTAAGGCCGCCAGTATTTGTTATAGTCCATTCTCTTAAGTTGTAATGCGGCTGAAGCTGTCGGAACATCGATCAGCAAATGTTGCCGTGAGCGGCGTGCGATTCTCCTCCGGGAATTACATCTCGGTGTGCATGCCTCCCTGCGTTTGTTCCACGAGTGAGAATCGATCTACAGCTTACATCACCTGCAAATATCTGATCGGATCTTGGAACCTCCAGTAGGTTGACTCGGCCCGAATAAGTTTTTGGTGCGGAGCGCGAACACCGATGCTTGTGCCACCACTCTCTAATACGCGCGCAGTGCGAGTGTTTACAGCCACTAGCAGACGTCCCTCAACAGTTTAAAAGGCACTCAGCAATGGATCTGTCTTTGTCTCTCTCTCTCTCTCCATCTGTGCACCCGTCCTTGATCAGCCTTCGGAGTGCTCCTGTGGGAGATCGCCACCTACGGCATGTCCCCCTACCCCGGCGTCGACCTCTCCCAGGTCTACGAGCGGCTGGAGCGCGGATACCGCATGGAGCAACCCGAGGGATGTCCACCCCGCGTCTACCAGCTCATGCAAGCCTGTGAGCACACCCCCCTATCCCCCCCACACCGTGCTTACAAGCTGTACAGGAGGGAATGTGTTGGTGTATGGGGGGGGGGGGGAAGGTTTGCCAGAACTTTCGGAATGATGATTCAGTTTGAACAAAAACGCGAAAAAGGTTGTTGAGCAGGAGCTTGCCCAATAGAAAACCAGGGCACTGATGAACGCTCTGTCCATACGATAACTTATGACCTTGATCCACGATGGTTTACAAACTGCAGTGAAATGTATTTAATCAAAATTATTGGTTTGTTGCACGACTGTCAGATAACTCTAATGGTCCACTCATGTGCAGTTTGATCGGAGGTGACGCCATCTTAATATCTCTGTTGCTGTTAGCGACAAGGTTTGGTTAGAAGTAGGTCCCGTGACAAACTTCACTCAAGTGCTGGATCTTTATTTGCTGGGCTAGAGTTGGTTGTAGCAGGTGGGTGAGCCTTATTGTGTGTGTGGTAGGCTGGCAGTGGAACGCAGCAGACCGGCCATCCTTTGCTGAGATTCACCAGACGTTCGAGACCATGTTCCATGACTCCAGCATCTCAGAAGGTACAGTGTCTTTTTCTTCTTAATTTCGTGTACTTGCCGATGACCACAATTCGCACCCGGATTTGTCACATCTCTGAAACTAAAGCAGCATTGAGGCTGCATGGGGTGGCCACCTTGTGTAACAGGTAATAAGATGTGGAGCTAAGACTTTGGTAGAAGGCAGTGCAGTAACAGTCGGGCCATACTTCTGTGCTGCTGTGTACGCACCATACCTTCAAAGCCACACTTTCCAGCGTGGTCAAATAAGCCTCAAATTGGCACATGCGCAGCAATCCCCACATCTAGCAGTAGATTGCCCAGAGGGCTGTGAATGTACATGGAGGTACACAGTCCTCCTGACCTGGCATTAACCTTCCTAATCCGTCCAGCCAAAAATCAAAGCACGAATAATTCTCGGGACTTTTGCGCGCTGTGAGAACAAGTGGGTATTGTGCGGACGTCGTGCGATTAACCTCACCCTTGTGAACCGCCGTGGCGCGCAGAGGTGGAGAAGGAGCTGGGGAGGAACGGATCGTCGTGCATGCAGGCACCCAAGCTGCCTGCCAAGAAGGGGTCCATCAGGAGGCCGCCCGAACGTGGAGACGCCGGCACGACGCTTGGCGCCTCTGTGGCGTCCTCGGAGACCATCCCCAAACGAGGTACCACCACCACGAGAGCAGCACCAACTGCCCCCCCCTCCCCCACACCACGCAAGCTCTTACATAGAACCTTGAACTATTCATAAGACACTTTAACTCTTCTAAAAATGCGATGTCAGCGTCCGTGGGGGAAGGGAGTTTCGCAGCAATTGTGCGATCCACCTAGTCACCTCCACAGTGCCCCCGACAGACGACGCGCGCGCCCACATCACAGCTACGTAACGCGTTGTCTGTGCCGTGTCGTCCCGCCCTGCCCGAGCAGACCCCGCCTGCTTCAGTTCGCCGCAGCTGCCGCGGAAGATGCGCGACGTCCTGAGCAGTGGAAGTGGTGGCGGCAGCGCGGCTACAATGGGCGGGGCGACCCTGGACGACTCCGACGTCCATGGCGGGGGCTTCCCGCCGTCGTCAACCGCCGCCTCCTCTTTATTCCTGCCGTCCTTCAAGGCCAAGAAGAAGAAGACGGCGCCGGCTCCTCCCAGGCGCAGCAGCTCCTTCCGTGACGCGGACGGCCAGCCGGAGAGGGCCGAGGAGAACGGCAGCTTCGGCCCGCTCTGCTCGTCCGAGGAATTCCTGGACGCGCGCGCCACGTTCTCGCGCGGTGACGCCAGGGAGAAGGAGAACCGGCTCGCGCCAGTCTCTCCATTCTGCACTCTGCGGCCGCTGCCCAAGGCCTCGCCGCATGGCAAGGCGCGGCACAATGTGGTTCAGCAACAACTGCAGCAGCGTTTGGAGAAGCAACAACAGCAGCAGCAACAACAACAGCAGCAGCAGGCGGTCGCGACTTTATCACTCGACCGTTTTTCCAGATCTTCATCCATGTCGTTCTCCAACGAGGGCGGGTCGGGCGACATGGAGCGCAAGTGTCACACGCTGCCGCTGGACGGCCAGCGGGAGCGAGCACCGGGCGTGGGCGGCGCCAGGGCCTCCGACAGCGTGGAGAGCACGGTCCAGCCGGTCAAGAAGTGCAGGGACCTGGCCGAGAGGCTGGCGCTCTTCAGCCGATGTCCTCTGCAGAAGCAGAGAAGCCAAGACAACGGGGAGAATGGCATGTTCAGGGACGGGGAGGCCAGCGCTCCCGGGACGACGCCCAAAGTGACGCGCAAGCAGCCGGGCGCGCAGTTGAAGCAACCGCGCGTGGGCGACGAGGCCACGGGGAAACCCCAGCCGGGCGGTGTCGCGAGGGCTGGAGGGGGCCCCACCAGCAATACGTTTCCTGGTGCCGTCCGCCTCCTGCCCACCTCGGAGCCCCTGCAGAGGAAGGCCAGGCCGCCTGCAGAAAAGTCTCCGCCGCACACAGACCGGGAGAAAGCGCAGCCATTGGGGCCCCAGCACAAAGCCAAGCCGTCCCACCCGCCGCCCCCGCCGCCCCTGTCGGCCACCAAACCTGTCGGCAAGCCGCCAGCCAGTCCTGGCGGCGAAGGCCAAACCGCGGGCGAGAGCTCGGGCGCCGCCCCTGTCAAACCCAGGTCGCCCCAGCGCGCGGACGCTGCGGGCGACGCCTCGGGCGACGGCGGTGTCAAAAAGCCGCTCATGCCGCCGGGCACCAAACCGACGCTCCCGTTAAAACCGCCCGGGACGTCGGCGGCTGGAGAGCAGCAGACGTCGCTCGTGACCCTGCGCAGGACTGCAAGGCCGCCCGAGAAGCGCTCGCCCAGCCCGGACGCTGGCGACGCCGCCCTGGTGCCGCTCGCCAGCAGCAAGGAGGGAGTCGTCGAGTGCCTGGACTGCCTGCAGAGGTCGCTGTCCACCGGCGCGACCCAAGCGCAGGCGGTGTTAGAGGCCGGGCAGAAGCTGTCGGAACGGTGCCGGCTGTACGCGGACTCGGCGCAGCCTGCAAGGAAGTTTGCACTTTTGACTGCATTGGGCAAGCTGGAGAGCGGCCTGCGTGAGCTGCAGGGCGGTGGTGGTGTGGGTGGTACGGGCTCACAGGCTCTCACAAGCTTGTTAGCTTGCACCAAGGAAATTCGGGACATTGTGAACAGGTAGCTGGTTGTGTGCATTGTACTTTTATACAAATGTGTTTCGGGTCCCTGCACAATTGCAGCTGTAAGATTGAGCCAATGGCTTTGCGAGTGAGCAAGCTTTCTCTTAAACCTCCAAGTGGCCCCAAAGAACATGCCCCTTGGGCCATCTGCCTGCCCCCCAAGAGCCATCACTGCAGGTGACCATCTGCGCGAGCCACGGCACCGCTGCCGTGGGTGGTGCAAATCCATGGTTGTGAAAGCCATCGTGACCACAGCAGCAGCAGAGAATTCGGTACAAGTGCGAGAGCCTCCACGCGGCGATTTGTTGGTACTTGATCTACGCTGTGCGAGCAAAAATTGCGCCCTGCTATTTGCAATTGTCGTGGCTGTACCAAATTAGTTTGTTTTTCTCTTTCAAACTGTTCACGCGAATGCTTCCCGTGGAACGCACTGCAATGCGAGCAGCAGCCCAGCGAGCGCGGCTACCAACGCGCCGGGGATGGGCAGCTGTGCCGAGCATTGACTCGAGAAGACAGGCGAAGGGCAGCGTGATGATACGTGGTACACGTCAGCCTCTTTTGTGGTCCTACACGTGAATGCGACCCTGCGGCATTCCCAGAAATAACGGCAAGCCTATGGAACACTGCGGGCATGTGTGCGTTTGCGAGCGAGACGAGCATGCGTGTTTTAATGCCTGGGTTCGTCCCAGCTCTGTGGTGTGCGTGGTGTACTGTGATGCTTGGGGTGTGCTCTGCCAAAAACAAATTCGGAAGATGTTACATTTTGTAAGCGCGCGTCCTTGGTACATTGGAAAGAGAACGCAGCGATTTGGGACCTCGGCCGTGGAATAACCTGCTGGGTACAAAGTTGCCTTTCGACAAAGGAAACAAAAGAAACACATACAATGATAGGTACTGAACACTGCCTGTTGTGCAGACCGCACATCCATGGTGTGCCATCTTCCTTGGTTCACTCCTGCAAGATCCGGTTAGCCGGCCGGCGCTTTCCAGACTGTACAGCAGGCGTAGAATGCTTTGCTCCACATACCCATGGAGGGCCAGACTCCAAGACTCACATACGAATTAATAGGGGCGTCCCTCTACACCGAGTGGGCCCTGTGCATTTAACACAATACAAAACATTAACGCAGCGCCAAGCTTTAGCAAGCTTTTGGACGGTGCTCATTTGCCCTTCGTGGTCATATAACCAAGGGGTGGAAATCCCTCATTCCATCCTTCACACAGAAACTTCCCAGGTGGTATTTATCTGTTGGACACCGCCACCCCTAGGGTATGGATAATGGGCTGTAGCACAAAGCAGATACTGTAGTTGTGATTATAAGCACATGGACACTGAATACCTTATGGTGGGTAGACTGGTATACAAGTCACACCTGCACATGCCAACTAGGGAACAGATCTGTCACAATGCTTGGCTGGATGAAGGCAAAACCCAAACAACATAGGCTGTGTCCTGGGCTATCCCACAAATTTATACTTCATTATGACTTTCATGGTGCTCTACCCTAACCAGTCATGAGGTTATTGCAGTCCGATGTCCGTAATTTTTTTTACGTGCCGACACTGCAGTGACACATCACTGGTTTCTATGGTGGTGCGTTAGTTCCTGAGGACCGCCCCAGTCCCCCATGGGGGTGATTTGACAATATTTCGCCATGCTATAGATACCTGCCGAAACAATACGATCAATTACTGCGCAGGTGTTTAGTCCGGTTTTGTACCTACCGCGGCGTGTTAGCCGGCACCATGTCAGTCGTCTTGCGCCGAGCACTTTCAGGAACTGCAGAAGTTTCGGTCCACCTGGTCAGGAGCTTCTTTCATTCTGAACACCGAAGCGAGAAACACATCGGAGAGCGACAAGCAATTTTGGCTTCGCCGTGCACAACGGAGGTCGGTAGGGGTGGTGGTGGTGGTGGGGGGTGTAGTCTTGCCCGCTTAGCAGTCAGCCTACGGAGTAGCGATTTTTTGCGTTGGCGCGATGTTTTTGCTGGGAGACGCCAATAGCCATGCACGGGGGCGGCGTCGGGAGCGGCGCCGCCGTCTCCACCCCGAACTCAGGTACCCGTGAACTGTGCTCGCCGTTTTGTCTCCGTGCCAGTTCTGTCCCGCAGTATGTGACTCTCGTGGTATTTTTGTTGTTGTCGTCGTTTCGAAGTCCTTGAGCTGCCTTGCCTTTTAAAAATGACAACGTAATAATTAAGTACTTATAATCCCTTAATCTATGTTGAGCCTAAATGCGTTTGTAAACCTGTTGTGGGGCCCGAGCTCTCTCTGTTGCATCTCTGCAGCCTTGTGCCCTAATGGCTGAAAGCGAAATTAAAAGTCAATTTTTAATTAACAAAGAGCCATTAGCCGTTTCCATTGGTGGTGCCTGAGCCACTGGTGACATTTCTGCATTCACATGGCAGCTGCCAGCATCCCCATGGAACAACCAATGTTGACCTCCCACAAAGCATTACTTATTTTAACCCCAAGGAAGCATGATGGGTTGAATCGACCCCCAAACTTTGGATCTGAACTGCGACCTTCTGAACGCAAGAGCAGATTACTCTCCACAGTGCCGCACGGCTGGATTGATGCAACACCGGTTGAGGAATCGGTGAGCTTTGGTTTGCCAAGCCCCAATGTGGTAATTCTGTTGTCTTCCTCGTTGTTTGGCGTTGCCCGGTGGCAATTTGTCTCAGAACCGCTTCCTGTGTCTGAAGAACGACGGTGCCTTGGGCAGGTGTACACTCAGCGCAGCTGTGGAAGAGGTTACGCAATGGACATTCAGTTGGCAAATACCACAAGTCTGGGATAATGTTACGAGTAACCCTTGATTAACAGCTTCAGGTTAATGGTATTAATTATGGTTAGATTTAAGATCGCGTGGGTAATTAACGCAACGGGATAATATTAAACTCCGATATATCTTTCAGAAAGTAATTGGGCGATTTGGAAATATCCATGTTGAAGGTCATTGGTGGCAAAGTGTCTTATGGAAGACTTAAGTGTTATTCAATCAACCTAAAGTGCATACTTAAAGACCAACATTTCGTTTCGTCTGGGGTTTATACAGCCAATACAACTCTTGCCATCGTGCAAACATCCACGACGGCGCTGTTTGTGCAACTAATCGCCGTTTTAAAAAAAAATCACTCTGAACCCATGCAATGAACCCTGCCGACGTGAACCTAGTGTGGTACGTTTTTATGCACCCTTTGTTGACAGTAGAGCTGGACTATCCAATCATTGAGCCATTATCAGTTATAGAGACTCTGCTCTGCTAAAAAAATGCTGGAGAAAAAAAACCATGCAGATATTTGGGCAGGGGTGGGGAAAGTCTCATCCCACGGTCATGACGTGCGCTACTGGATGGGAGGTGATGGGCGGCAGGGCCTTGCGGTGTTGTCGGCATCGGCCTCTTCTTCATGTTGGGCGTGGATTCGCGTGGGGTTTCCCCTGTGTCTTGCGCTACTTGTAAAGGACTCAGAGTAATCGACTGCACAAAATGTTGGATTATATAAATACACACGCACGGTCCCACAGATCGAGTTGAAAGCAAATACAAGCACAGCGCGCGTGCATTGTTGTGAAGCCAAAGTTAAATAGCACAGCCTACTAGTTGTTCCGTAGCCCCATTGCAGGGCCAAAACAACATTTTCCTTTAAATAAATACGAGGCTGTACCCATCAATAGAATTGGTCGTCTAACAAAGTCACATTACGCGTACAGCCCTATGTCAATCCAGGGCCCCCTCCCCCTTACGCCTTTTGGGTTATGGGGTTTATTTGATCATACTTCACCACGCTGCTAAATGCAGAGTGGAATGCTTGGGGAGCATTACCATGACAGCATGCTACAGTGCAACGTATGTTGCTGTGCTGCCCTCTGCTGACAGCCTATAACTGCGGTGCCCTGCAGCGTCACTGAACACCACCCAAGTTCTTTGGCGTACCCCGGACTTGAATTAATTTGGAGGGCCATCTTTGTAGTCAAAGTTCTGCATTTGTTGTTGTTGTTGCCGCCTTGTAGCCAATTTCAGACGCGCTGCTGCAGCAGCCGTGTAGCGGTTGGCAGCACCAGTCTGATCTCCAGGAGCGGCAGCTCAAACTTTGGCGCAATTATCTTCAATTCATCTTCCCATGTCCACCCAGAAGTATATAAGTGTGTACATGACAGTCAATTAGTGGGTAAAGTGTGGGTACTCGCCTCTTCCAATATATCTGGTCAGCGTGGAAGAGTAGGCCAAAATATACTCCAGGGAGGGGGCTTCTTTAGAACTCCCTTTGGTGGAGGCCTTCCCACCAGCGGTGGAGGCATTTGCAGGTCTGCGCCTTTAGGGAGCGAGTTTGGATTTTCACGACACCACAAGTTCACTCAGTGTTGACTGCCGCTCCCCACTTTGTGATGTTTAAGAGGAAAGCACACGTTTGAATCTGCTCCATCTACTTCATGTACATTTGCTTTGATCCTTGTTTGTAGCCTAATGATATCCTTGTCCTAATTAATTCGTCTTTGCGGGTTGTGTATTATACATGTTGTTTTTTAGTGTGAGTGATAGCGCTAACTTAAACGTTTGGTATGGTTTACAATTCATCGTTACTAAAGTGTATAATTGAGAGCGCGTGGCGATCATTCGATTGTGTCGAGGGATTGTTGTGCAAGTGAAACTGCTGGTACGCGTCAGTGTTAGTGTGATGGAAGGGTTGTTGCCCTCGCTACCACGTCTACGGAGGCTTGGATTTCATTCCTTTTGGACAACACGAGTTTGCATATCCCACCTCCAATATGCCACTTATATTTTGCCCTGCAGTAACCATTGTGGGTTTAACAATAGACAATGATAGACATTGTTAGCCAAGCCATGCATGCGGAATTATGCATGTAAGAATCTGCTTTTCAATTCCTCATACTGGATAGCTCCAATGACGCACAATACTTTTTTTCTGCAGGTGCGACAGATTGAGGACCCCCCCATTACTTGCAGCTATATTACTGCCACCAAGTAGCAAAGCACTTGTGTCAGGCTAGGTGCACTTAAAGGCCACATGAAGCTCACCCATTGGAGTTCACAGGACGGACCTAGATGTCCATAGGACTTCACAGGACAAATCTAGATGTTTTGGGTTAACCAATTTGTCATTACCTAGTACACACCCAATATAGCCAAGGTCATATACTGTATACTTAAAATTCATGACTTGTATAGGTTATATTGCATATGTGAACACGTCAAAAAAATCTTTGGTACGTTGTGCATTTAAAGTAAAGATACACACACACCCCAGTGCCATTCAGTGTATTAGACCCTACTTGCTGCATCAGCCAATACCACCATACCGTGCACCACACTGCCTGGCCAGGAGTTGAACCCAGGTCCACCGGGTGATTGAACCACTGCTCCCCATTACATTACACGTGCACACTCACGGCACCACATGCAAGTCCCAATGAACAAATTAATTGAATCTGTACCCGCGGAAGAAATCCAACGTTCCCGAGACGTGTGCATCTTGGACATCCTGACCTTCCCAATTACCCTCTCCGATCCACATTTCAACCCCAAACCTCCAGGGTGCAGTTCCTAGTGCGTTTTCGCGAGAGTATTATATTGTACGGACTGCACTCCCTTCCCGCACTGCACCCCACAGCAGCCTTACTAAGGTCGCCCGGATAGGTCCTCCGGGCGAGCCGCGTGTCGCCGCCCCCTGTTCCTTCTGCCAGTGTACATATAAATTAAACTTCGCGGAAAGTCCACCCGGTCTCTTCGCGCTCCTGTGTCATTCATTATCGGCGGCGATGGCTTAACAAATAAAAGCAAGTCTGTCATTGTGGAATGTTTCGCCGTTGTCTGCCGGCGAAGTCGCCGTTAAACCAAAAAAAAGCGATTGTTGGCTCAATGGGCTTTACCTGGGAAGTACATTTATTGAGTCCATAGGCCAGAGGGGGAGAATTGTTGGTGCCAACGGTCCCGCGGTTGCAGGATTGATTGCCGAGGGTGATAAAAGTGAATGAATTGACCCACGTCCCCATCGAACCCGGTGGGGTTTTTTTTTCTCCCGGGGTTTTAAGGGTAAAGCTGTGGCTTTAAAAATGCTAAAAAAACATGCCGGGCGATCAGAATATAATTACGAAGATACCCAACAACAAACCCATCAAGCAATGCTCCATAGTGACATGTTCCATAGCAAGTTATTCTACCAAGATTGCATTTTGCAACTCCCCAATCGTAACAAGCCGTAGTTTACGCCGCCTCCACACCTTAACGCGATCACATTTGCCCAGAGTGTACAATTTCAAAACAAGATCCCACGGTAAGAGGTCACAGGTCAACTCAGACCGTGTGGCCTATGCACTTTCCAGACGAGCCATGGAATCGTGGCCTTCTTGCCACGTGCGTGTACGCGGACAAGGATGGCTGCCACGAATAGATCTGCGCACAGAAGACAAATATCGTCCCGTGCAGCCTCAACGGGGGCCACTGTTGGGGCAAGTGCTGCTAGCGAGCACCTACGAAGGCCGTCACGGCCGGTGGCTAACACCACACTCGGCCACCGCCTTCGTCTCGCACGTGGCGACGTTTACACCGCACCAGGTACAGTACTCATTTGAGGCCGAGTCAACCTAGAGGAGGCCCAAAACCGATTCGGATTATTGTTACTGGCCGTGAGCGGGAATCGAACTCGGGTCATCGGGTTCCTGCATAGGTGTGGGGGAGCGGGGTTCGCTTTGTCCCTTAAGAATCGGGGGTTGTATTTAATGGAGGTATTTTCTAATCTTAATGGCAAACTACTGAAAATTCTACACGAGGCCTCCTTTGCCAGTATCAAAAAATATAATAGGGGTTTTCCCCTTTTTCTGGCGACAAAACTGAAACCTTTTGCAAGGAATCTTGTTTACATTAAACCACAATACTTGCAGTAAGAATGCAAACAAAAAACGACTCTGATAATATATGCATTGTCCTTGAAACCAAGCCGAGTCTCACACGGTGTTCGACCAGCTGACGCCAAAAGTACGCCTTTTGGCGTCGTCTGGTCCTTGCAAAAGGTTTCAGTTTTGTCGCAAAAAAGAAAGGGGGAAAAATTAACCCGTAAAACAAAGTTTTTCACTATAAATCCTTTATTTGCGTGGCGGCTAGAGTCCTCTCGTCCTATGGCTTGAGATGGCTGCCACCTATGGGTCAGATGATTGCCTGCCACCATTAAGCAATTTGGTAATTAAATATAATTTTTTTCACCTAAGAAGTGTAAAATTTTGGGGAAAAAATGTCACGAAAATAAATTGTCACGCACAACGAGTCTGTGTGCAAAATGTCAGCTCGATTGGATCACGGGAAGTGGGTTAGAAAACGACCGAAAGATTTGCACGGTCGTAAGCGCGCAAGCAAGCAAGCAAGAGAACTTAATATAAAGGATTTAAAAACCCCTATTACCGAATTATTTAAGTGTCCAGTTGAGGCGGGGGGGGGGGGGAGGGGGGCGTTGCACCCCCCCCCCCCCCCCCCCGCAAAATCCGCGCAAGTGTTCCGAAGCAAAGTGTGCTTCAACAGGATACAATGAATCCGCGACAGAATGAACGATACATTGTGTTTCAGGCCCATGAACATAACATTGAACACTGGAACGGGATCCAATGCTCGGTTGAACGGGACTAGACCGATCATTAAAAACGATACAAAGCTCGATCCATGCTCGAACACAAGAGGCAACACGGATTCATCCTATCCCGTTCCAGCTCCAACCGCTGCACCACCGCTCCCTGTGAGGTCTGCGCACCGCGGCCCCCACGGATACAGCCGCGCATGCCGCTCCTCGTGAAGTCCCCCCCCCCATCTACCCCCTCCCCCCATCCCCCCCCCCTCCCCATCTACACTCCCCCATTCACCCTCCCCCATCTACCACCCCATCCCCCTCCTGGCAGGCGACACAACAAACCCAATAATTTACACACAAAAAACAAGAAACTTCCCAAACGGCAGCATCATATTTTACGCGTAACATTTACGCAAATGGTATGCTACAATTATTTGTTTCAAGTTACAGGATTACACGCAATGTGAACGATGTATAGATCTTAAATTAGTTTAACATGAGCTAGCGACTCCCAGCCAACCCAATTACAAATGTGTAATCATACTGCGGAGTACATTTAACATTTACTTGAAACTCTCCTGCAATCCTAAATGTTCGCCAGCGTCACGCGATTTTTTTGTTCATTTTATTTAAAGCGCCATTAAATCCGCGCACTCGAGAATGGCCTCCAAATCTGAACCCGTAGAGCCCGCACGTACCTCGTTCAGGTGCGGCGTTCTTCATTTGCGAGGCCCGCGGGCCACGGACGGTCCCTGGTGGCCTCTAGTGCGGCTCCCTCCCTCCTCGACAAGACACAATGTGAAAACAACCCCCCCATCCCCACCACCAATCATGGTGCTGAAAAACCCCACTGGGTTTCAAATGCGTGGCGGTTCCTCACACACTGGCGATGTCTTATCGGCGAAAGCGCGGGCCCCTCTGAAATGTCGTGATGAACGCTGCTGCTAGGCCAAGCCTGCATCAAGAAGAGGGGTGGGTGAAAGGGGCTTCAAGACTGAACACCCTGGGCCGAGCACAGCTGCGTAGCGCACTGAGAGCCTCGCCTTTATATGCAGACAGCGTCATGGGTGCTACCAGCCCTCCCCCCCCCACATACAATCAATTGACGTGCCTTCCCATGCTCTCCTAATTACGCATAGAATATAGAGCAATGGTTTGGGAGGAGTAAAACGAGTCCGACCATTATGTTATCCATCGTGGCCCACTTAATTTGGAAGGAAAAAATATATATCTGCGATCAAGAAGAAGGGCTATTGCCCGAAACGTCGCCGATTTACGCGTATTATTTTCGAAGGCCACATTGTTGTGATGGGTTTTTTTGTTGTTGCTGAAACTGGAAGAACCTGAAAACTGTCCAACTCTGCGGCAGATGTGGCCGGACCACCTCGCTTGTGAATCCAGATCCATCTAAAGTCTGATAAACGTTTAAGTTACGTTACTTACCGTACTTGCCAGTATACGTTGTAAAATGAGTTGCGATTAAAATAACTTTGTTTAAAATAATAACGGCGCAGAGCTGCTGTTGAAGGGTCAAACACTAAAACGCAATCTGAAGTAAATTTTCCAAAATATGTTGAAAAGTGGAATGAAATAACACCGATAGCAAAATTTGGAACGGAAACAAATCGATGTTCAGATGTTATTGGACCGGGCCACATCGATGCCAGAACACTGATATCACCAAAATATCCATCTATTGTTTTGCCCACACCTATCGTGGACGCATTCTACACAGATATCAGAAGCTCGCCGCAACACGACACGGAACCTGCCAGCGAGCATTCGACAACATCTGTGAAAAAGAGCTTGCTGGCTCATCGGATTCCTCCAGTATAAATACATGTTCTGATTCTGACTTCACGTGCACCTAGCCTGGTACAAGCGCTGAAGTAATGCCACTTTCACAACAACACTCTCACTCACCTACCTACTCATTCTCTCACTCGCTCACTCACTCACCTACTCATTTTCTCACTCACTCGCTTACTCCCACTCATTCATTCACTTGCTCACTCACTCACCCACTCATTATCTCACTCACTTATCCACTCATTCTCTCACTCGTTCGCTCACTCGCACACTCACTCATTCACTCACCCATTCATTTTCACTCGCTCATTCATTCTCTCACTCTCCCATTCACACACCCACTAATTATCTCACTCATTCACCCACTCATTCTCTCACTCGCTCGCTCACTTATACACCCACTCATTCTCTCACTCACCCACTCATTCTCTCACTCACCCTCTCACTCACACACCCACTCATTCTCTCACTCACTCACACACCCACTCATTCTCTCACTCACTCACCCACTAATTCACTCACTCGCTCACTCATCCACCCAACCAGCGTACTGAGGGTCAAACCCTTATCGTTGCGCTTCTTCCACCGCACTGCTCGGCGCTGGAATTTCCTCGAGCCGTCTCCTTTGCCATCTCTTAGAATCACGAACCCAGCTCAGTTCAAGAGGCGTGTTACAACTCTTTGAGAGTCTCAACAAAATACACAAATACCGGTCACTGTCAGTACAACCAGCGCGCGCCTGGAACATGATGGACACGATGCAATTCTTCAGGAACTGGTGGTTTGGCATCACCCCCAGTGCACACGCGGTGGCACACGTGTTTGTAAAAGCCCCGTTCTCGTGCCTGCACACGATTTCTTGTGTTGTGATGGGAGCTCCTCGTCGTATCTCCTGTGAACTTTGACACGGCCGACTGTTGCTGACCGCTTGGCGTTTTGTGCACGTGCTTAGCAACTGCGTTCAACAATAATACTCATTTGACGACACTTTAAGTAGAGTATGTTTTATTACTTATCATTGACAACCGGCTGCATGCAAGTGCATGCGTATTTTGCATTTGTGTGTACGTGTGTATGTATAGGGGAGCGGTGGGGCAGTGGTTAACGCACTGCGCTACGAACTCGGCGACGCGAGTTCGATTCCCGCTCAGGACCAATAGCAGTGGCGAATATCAGAACCAGTACTGGGCCTTAAATGAGTACCTGGTGCGGTGTGCAAACATCGCTACTGGGGAGACAAGGGCGGCCGGGAGTGGTGCTGGCTTTTGGGGCAAGTGCTTTTGGGGCAAGTGCTCGCTAACAGCACTTGCCCCAAACGTCCGTTAAGACTACACGGTGAACCTTTGTATTTGTCTTCAATGATGCATGCATGTGTGTACGTGCGTGCACAGCACACACTCTCTCTCTCCGTGTCCCCTACACACTCAGGAATGCCTCGATCCCATCATCACAGCCCCTCGACCAAACCTGAAATTGAACCCTCCCTTCTGCCGATTGTGGCTCAGGAACCCGACCACGGACCCCAGGGACTCGTCCCTGGCTCTCCTCCCTCCCGCGCCTCTCCTCCCGGCCACCCGATCTCTGGCGGCGAGCAGGAGCAGGAGGGCCATGAGACACCGTCTCCTCCCTCGCCGCGTCGCCCACGCCTGGATCACGGCGTCTTCTCCTCCCGCTGCTGCTCCTCCTCCTCCTCCGCCACGGCTCCCTCCATCATCATCATCATCTCTGTCCCCTCCACGGCCGAAGCGGAACCTGAATCCGCCCTTGTTCTTGTCGACTCCTCGCAGCTCCTTCACGATGTGGTTCAAGGGCTCCTCGCTTTGCTGCACGGAGCGAGCCGCGTGATGCCCCGGGGAAGATGACGATGATGACGAGGAGGGTAGGAGACCGCCCGGGATCACTGCCCCTTGCTGGCGAGTCGCAGCTGCGGCCGCAGGGAAAGATTCTCGGAAGCCCAGGGGCTCGGGCAGGTGAAGAGGGCGGCAAGAGGGCAGCAGCGGTAACGTGGCGAGCGAGAGGAGAGCCATGCGGGCGAGGTGCGTGTGGATGTGCATGGCTGCGGCTGCTGCTGGAAAGGAGCACACGTGTTCGGGGTGATAAGAACAAAACGTGCGCGAACTGATTACACTCTATGCGAGTCTCTGGGTCTCTGCCAATCTGTGTGAATCTATGAGTCTCTGTGCGAGTCTGTGTCTAAGTGGGAGTCTACGTGTCTGTACGAGTTCGTGTGCACAGATCGCTGTGCGGGTCTATAGGTCCGCCGTGTGACTTGTGTAGGTTCTCTGTGTGCTCAACATGGATCGCAGTACAGGAGTTCCACATCGCGTCTCAAGCCAAGTATAAAACAAGTCCCGAAAGCACCGACGGACTAACGAAGCGCTGAACACACAGAGTGATGCAACAGAGTCCACCATCATCAAACCTGGACTTAATCGGAAACTCATTGCAGTAATTTATGAACGGGAGTGGTTATTAAAACATCCAACGTACTCGTCACACTTGGCACACTTGGCAGGAGTCAGTCACAAAGACAAAGTTCCCCCCGTATAGCCTTAACAGATTGTTGGAGCAAGTGCTGTTAGCGAGCACCTCTGAAGGCCGGCACGGTACACGAGGGGGTGGGTGGCCAACACCACGCCCGACCGCCTTTGTCTCCCCAGTGGCTATGTTTCCGCGCGCGCCGGGTACTCATTTGAGGCTGAGTCGACCTAGGCGATGCCTAATTCGGGCTCGGATAATCGTCGCTGGTGTCAACCGTGAGCGGGAATCGAACTCGGGTCGCCGGGTTCGTAGCGCAGTGCGCTAACCACTACACCACCGCTCCCCAAGAGGAGTCAAGTTCCACTCACCCCACTCGCCCCACTCACCTCACTCACCAGGCACTCTGATGGAAAGTTGCAGAGGTGAGGAAAGGTCCGGCAAAGTGGTTTGTTGCATCACATGGCGCGAAGTCCAACGCCGCTCACGAGCATCTTCCTTTTATATATCTCGCTGTGTGGATGTCATACACGCGCTGTGTGTGTGCGTGTCATACACACGCACACACGCACGCGCTGTGTGTGTGTGTCATACACACACAGCACTGATAATTGCCGCGGGAGGAGGAGTGGGAGAGTGGGGCGCTCGCCCCAAATTCTAATGCCATAGAGGTCGCCATCGCGTGGCGTGTCTATGGTGAACTTCTTTCGTACCGTACGTAACCAACTGTGCTAATCGTAGCTCGTGGATGGTTGGGTTGGAGGTTGTGTCCACCAAGGCCGTAGCGATGGAGTCAACATTGGGGGGGACCAAATGTTCCAGGGGATCTGGGGGTCTCCTCCCAGAAAAAAAATCTAAATTTGAAAACTAATTTCCTGTCTAAAATATTAAAAAATACACTAAGACATAAGATGGACTTTATATTTATTTTTTACAATAATGTCGAATAGTGTATTGTTTTACATGGCTGTTTTTTTCTTTTTTACCATTTCTTGTTTCATTGTATGTAATGGTAGAGATTAGGGATTTCTAAAGTACAACCATAACCACAATCATATAAATAGAAATCTACTTTTATAGTAATATATTGGGAGGGGGGACATTTTGAGCATACTTTAATATTGGGGGGGATGTGTCCCCCCAAATATATATTATAATTACGGCCTTGGTGTGCACAGATATGAACTTTGATCTGCGAGGTTGATGAGGGTGCAATTACAATATTACGGACGTGCAATGTTACTCACAACTCAACTATGGAAAGTGCTGTTTTATTATTACTGCAAATGTGCTGCTAAATGTTGAGTACACACTACACGACAATAATGATGACGATAACGAGCACAAGTCAGAATTGGACAAGTAGCCCAACGGATATGTCCGCTTCAATGCGATTCGTGACCACAATCTCTGGTCGTTGGGTTCGCAAGAATCTTAATGGGAAGTTACTGGGATCATCACTAGGGTTGTGTTTGTGTGTGAGTCACTGGGTCGTGTGTGTGTGTCACTGTGTTTATGTGTATGTGTGTTCCACTGTGTTTGTGTATGTGTGTCACTGTGTTAATGTGTGTGTGTCACTGTGTTTGTGTGTCACTGTGTTTGTGTGTCACTGGGTTGTGTGTGTACTTGTGGGGAGCGGTAGTGGAGCGGTTAGCGCACTGCGCTACGAACCTGGCGACTCGGGTTCGATTCTCGCTCACGGCCAACACCGGTGACGATTATCTGAACCGGTCCTGGGCCTCCCCCAGGTCGACTCAGCCTCAAATAAGTAGCTGGAGTAGTGTGTAAAAAAACATCGCCACTGGGGAGACAAAAGCGGCCGTGCGTGTGCCGTGCCGGCCTTCATAGGCGCTGCTCGCGAACAGCACTTGCCCCAACAGTCAGTTAGGGCTATGCGGGGGATCTTTGTCTTTACAAGTGCGCTTCCGCCTGGAATGGTCGCTGGACTTATTAGAGAGACAATTTGGCCAGCACCCATTAGGTGAAGTGAGTGTGTACGTGTGCAGTTAACGCTCTTAACTAATCAACACGCAGCCGTGGCGACGACGGTGGACACTGAAGACGTTTAACAAACGAGCCTGACATTTAGGGTAATTGAACGATAGTTTGTGTGTGTTGTGTGTGTATATGTGTGAAAGATAATTATCTGCATGCTGACTCTTGAAGGGGGAAAGCACACTGTGAGCAAGTGAAACTGAGAACGCCACATACCAGATGTACACGTGTGTAGTGTGTTTGTGTGTAGTGTGTGTGTGTGCATGTGTGTGTATCTGTGCATAGGTGCTCGCTAACAGCACTTGCCCCTACAGTCTGTTAAGGCTATACGGGGGATCTTTGTCTTTGTACCTGTGCATGTGTAGTGGGGAGCGGTAGTTGTAGTGGTTAGCACTGCGCTACGAACCTGGCGACCCGAGTTCGATTCCCGCTCACTGCCAACACCAGTGACGATTATCTGAACCGGTTCTGGGCCTCCCCTAGGTCGACTCAGCCTCTATGACTACTTGGTGCAATGTGTACACATCGCCACTAGGGGGGTTGGCCATTCACCCCCTCGTGTACTGCTCTGGCCTTAACAGCACTTGCCCCTGCGGTCTGTCAAGGCTATATACGGGGGATCTTTGTCTTTGTATGTATGTACGTGCTGTAAAATAACAACTCATTGCAGTTTCATGCCATCAAAGTGCATAGACATCATATCGATTTTTCGGCAAAAGTGTTATTGGGGCTGTGAGCCGGTGCACATCGTGGCGAGAAGGGATGACGATGACCGATGGATGACCGATGGATGACCGACGGTCGAGACTGGTGAAGGAACGGCAGGAGAAGGATTAGAGAACCGCAGCGAATCGCCCTGTCCGTGGATAAACCGCGGGCTCACGACGACGAACGCGACCACCACAGCGGTGGCGGCGGAAAGAAGGAAGAGCGTCGTCGAGTGAGTTGGTTCGTTCATCCGTTTTATTGTTCACAGAGACGCGTCGTCATTTGGCGAATTGTCTTGTCGGCAGGGTCATGGGGGGGGGGGGGGGCAGGGGGGAGATGGGAGGGGGGCGTTGGGAGGCATTTCTGTTTAACTCGACAACACAAACATCCCATGTATTATCTAACTGAAGCCCATCACAACCTCCGGTGAAATTGCAAAGCATAGTACCACTTTGTGAGAAGTGAAAAGTCGGTTCGTGTTTCGGATGGACTGGCACCGTCCATGGAAATGTGTAATTGTCACCAATGGCTCAAGGGGCAGCCCCCATTGTACGTCAGAGCAGAGTTGTTGTTGTTTAAACTTTGACTTAGAGACATCGAAACACATACGCGGCGCTGGTGAATTACACCGGTCCGACTCATGTGAGGCTGTTATGGTAAAAAATTAAAGGCAAAATCACGACCATTTGCGCGAGTTTTCACTGCCCAGGCGAGTTGTGAAATATAATCAGACGTTCCGGGGCGCAGACCTAAGCCTCCTACGGATCTCCCTTCCCCCCCCCCTGCTGCACTCCCTCCGAGGGCCGACAACCACATTTGCCATAGCAACACCTGTGTGTGTTACGTGGTCTAAATATAATACGCTATGACCAAGAATGCCCTGGGGTTTCTACTCTACCGCATACATGTGCAACTGTGATAAACTCTAAGCACTTAAAAAGTTAAGTCTAGTAGTAATAATAAAAATAACAGAAAGATCCTCGTAGCTGTATTTTGTGAGGATGCAGGAGCATTGATAGAATCTATCGAGTACGGTATATACATTTCATACACGGGCCCGGCACACATGAAGCGCAGTCCGCGCTGATGACGGTCAAAATTAAAGCGTCCAAACTGGGATTGAGGGGGAAACAACGAAACGCACGTCACCGAAATAAAAACATTGCCCTAGTAAAATAAAATAAAAACCGTGTGCCGTGTTACGAGATTATAACAGGCTTTAGACGTTTCATTGTTCACGCGGACAAGTTAAAGCAGGAATCAGTTCAAAGGACAGAGATGTAGCCGATGCACATCACAAGAAAAACGTTTTCCCAAACTGTCTCTGGCCCAGATAATACTCCATGTCACATTATCAATGTCGCCAGGACTTAGGGATTCAAATTGTAATCTCTGTCTGTGTCAAACTCGGACAGTCTTCTCTTTGGGCAGGGCAGCAAAAAGGTTTTTGGAGACCTGGGGTAAAGATATCCCCTCGGATGTGAGGACAGAGGAAAGCTGCCCATCCTCGCAACGGTGTATCGTCTGGTAGTTGTTTATAATTAGGGAGAGAATAAGGCCCTGCCATAGTAATTTGGAATTTCCACAACTGTCTCGGCACTGCCGACAACAGCAGATGCCCACGGCCGAACGCTCGTTCGAGCTCATTGGGAAACTTGACGAGACTTGACAAATCTGCATCATTAAGATAGTAAAATATTGGGTTGGCGGTAGGTTCTAGATTTGAAGCTTTCGTGACTGCAAAGATTCATATTCTTAGGTTTTTTCGGTAAAGTCACGTCGGTAAAAAAAAAGAAAAAAAAGAAAAATCACGACGTTTCGGAGGCAACACAAGCTTCTGTCTTCAGGTGGAACCGTCGCAGCACGATAGCTGTATCAACGTGACTTTACCGGAAAAAAAGAAAACCTAAGAATACTGGCGGTAGGTACCAATCAATCTCGGCCTGGCCCTGACTATGTCACGGCCAGAAGAAGGGGAATCTAACCCAGTGCCTAGTTTACATTAACAACATAACACGAGTTTGAAGCTCAAGTTTCCGTCACAGCGGCATGTGTCTCTAGAATGTTTGTCAACTCGAGTTTGAATATTGGACGATATCCCAAAATATCATGGGACATTTCAATTCGCGGCTAAGCCTGAATTTCTTCTGTCAGAATCCAGGCAGAGACGAATAGATTTCATATTCATCAGTAACAAGGTCTTGATATTTGACTCGCAAGGAACTTGATTGACTTGTAAAATCAAAGAATCACTGCTTTTGTTTCTTGTGTAAATATTTTAAAGTCCTTAAAATGTTGTTCCACCTACTGGTTCCTGCTTCTTTGATGATGTCCACAGCTATTTCACGGAGTCTGAGGGCAGCTTTCCTCTTTTGCTGTTCATAGGGCAGCGGTTTACTTTGCCCTCCAACTTGAGTTCTGGGGGGAAAAAAATCAGGCGAAACCCAGGTCCAATCAAGCCACCTTGTTGGCCAACCCATCGCAACGAGGTATCTGCTGCGCCACGGTGGGCCCTCTAACAAATAACGCCCCGCTCTACAGCCGACATTCGGTAACAGAATAATCCGAAGAATGATTCGGACACCTCGCTCAAAATCCAAACACCGGCTCTAACCAAGCTTTAAGTAGCGACCGCGTGCAAAAGCTACAAACACACACACACGCACGTGCTTGCTGGGGCACACACAAAGTCTTCACAGATACACCTCAACCATAAACTAACGATGCGCCTTACCGCTAACCAACAAATCCACTTTCCAGGACAATCAACGCGTGCAGGTTTCAACTTAACGATGACCGCTCACCCGTCTTTGGTGCGGGACAAGTTACCGCGAGTCTCCGAGTGGACATTGTCGTGCACGATGCCGATGGCGTCATCATCGTCATCATCATCATCGGTGTCGTCACTTCTAATACGTTGTTGCGCCGTTGAAAATCCTCTTTCACCGCGTGTGACGATACGAAGCGACGAGCGCGCGTGGCGACATCAGCAACGTGATACCGTGCAGCGTGCGCCCCACCTCCAAGTCGACCTCAATCGCAGAGGCTGCGACGTTAGACCACGAGCCAATGGGGGTTGATCGGTACCACCTGGGAAGACAAACGCTACCAGTGTCCACCATGGGCAGTGTCCACCGTGATCCAGTTTCATTTGCAGATGCATTTCCTGTTTATTTTCGTCTTCCGTGGATGATTACCATCACATTCGTTTTTTTGGGGTTCTCAAATGTACTACGGTACCGTTTGCTAACAACACGTTTCTAAAAAAAAAGCTACCACGTCGACCTTGCTATCATACATGGTTGTGATCTAGAGATAGCACGCTGCAAATAAATCACTGGTAGCATTTGCCAGCCTAGGTAGTACCGATAAGGGGTTATTGGCATCATTGGCTCAAGAGACATACTGGAAACCTGTTTTGGTTTCGAATTCAAATGACAATGGAGAGTGGATTTTTTTTTTATCTATAGGCGAGTGGCAGCAGTGCTCTGTGATTGTATATTATATATACACACACACTCACAGACAACATGGGATTTGTATAATGCCATAGACGAAGTGTTTCTAAACCTGTCGTGAAAGATGCATGACCACTCATTTATTGAATAAACCGTCAAACTATCTGATTAATAATAGAGTTCCCCAACGATGTAACATTCGCAAATAAAAAAAAAACACCCACAATGTTTTAATCACAGCATGCCACTTAAATATGGGAGCAGTCACAAATAAACCCTAGGCCGTTTATCCCTTCCACAAGTCACGATTACTTACGGATCATCACAATCCCCATGCAACGCGTTCGACAGTTTTCGTTGCGTCTTTTCACCGTCTCCGTTTGCATCGTTCGCCCCGTACGTTCTCTCTCGCTCTCTCTCTCGCTGCCCTGTTCGCCGAGCAGAAACCCAGTCGGTCTCGACTGTGAGGAAACCCGGTTGCGTGCAAGTGTTCGCAACTGGTTGCAGAGGCGCGCAAGTTACGCGACTTTGGTAGTGGGCGGGTGACCGGGCGGGCGGGCGTCGCGTTCGCCGTGGAGGTTCGCGGTTCGAATCCGGCGGGCCGCCCTGGTTAACGCTGCGGCGGTGTGCGCCGACCGTAACGATCGCAACGCCGCCGTCTCGCTTCGCTCGCAGTGGGACTTTAAAGATCCCGCGACGTCGTTTTCCCAAGAGAGCAAGGCCATCGCGAGTGCCGGCGTCAGGGTCCAAATTTTTCTCAATCGGATAATGACACCGCACGCTACTCAATTGGGATGACGCACGGTGGCAGTCGTCAGACAACCCGACCCGGCAGACTGATGTCCCAGGTCACGCTCGGCGAATGAGACTCCAGCCTGGTCTCCCGAGTGCTCACCATGGCTAAACAAAAATACAAAATAAAACCCATCGCTCAGGTGTGCATCTGCCTTTGGGTGAATGGGTTCGTGCTCTGGCCAGTGTGGGGTGAGTGGGAGGAGGGGGAGGGGAGGGGAGGGGGTGTGAGGGGAGGGGGCTCCGCTGGGGGGTCGAGATGGGAAGGAAGGAGGTGAGCGTTTAGCGCTGCTCCCCGGGCGGGTGCACGTATCCGTGTGGACGCATCTTCATCTCGACGAAGGGGATGGAGTGCTCGTGGCCCTTCCAGTGGTACCAGTTGATGCCCTGCCCAGCGGCACGCACACGCACACGCACACGGACACGGCGTCACCACGGCGCTCACACGAGCTCTCACGCCGGGGCTCAACGGTGTCGCATTCCGCGCATGCAGCAATGCGATCGCGCGCACGGCCGGGCCGAGCATGGTTACGTCATTCACACGACCAAAGCGACATTTGCGGACCGTGTTTCTCCATTCCGCCAAAGGCGGCCGCGACACCTGGGAAAGAAGGATGCATGCGGTTCGGCGACGCAGAGCAACTTCTGAGGGCGGAGAGTCAGACACTCCCAAGTTATAGACCTTTGTCTGGGGCACGACGGCTAAGGAATGCGCAACTCCGTTGCATTGCCGAAGCAACGAATTTGGATTGTTTAACGTAGGACGCCGTGCAAAGTACGAAGCGTGGAACAAATAATTATTATAGCGAATCTACCCTTCTCCGCGTTGATACGGAGGGCGCTATTGGCGTATCTTATAATGCGCGCCGTGTCCACGGATACCTGCACAGCTAACCGTGTCCATGTGCGGGTAACCGCACATGGACACATAACGGGAAGACGGGAAGAATCCGCAGCCCATTCCGGGTGACTCTTCTTACCCGCGACTGGCATCCACGGTATAGCAGAATTGGCGGATATTATGGGGGGATATAAGGTGCTGCGGATAGATTGAAAATTAATTTCTTTAGAACTGCTTTTTGTCTTCAGTTTGTTGCCCTTCCCCCCCGCCGCACCTGCGATTAGCACGGCTGGCCACGTACGGCGCGAGAGAAGCTCAACATCATACGCGGCACACAAGGGGCGTTTCCCCGCACGCGCTGTGCGGGCTGCGTCGGCGCGAGCACCTGGCTGTGGCTGGCCTCGCCGTACTTCCCGTTGAGGTTGACGCGGTGGCAGTTCTTGTACCACCACGCGCCCTTGTAGGAGATGGCGCAGTTCGTCACCGCCACGTCGTTGTCGCGGTCCGGCGCCGAGAACGGCCGGCCCTGGTGGTAGGACAGCGAGTCGCCTGCGTGGCGCGGCACGGCCCGCCGGGGATCATCCGGGGTCAAGGGTCGGTGGGAGGTGAGGGGGCAGGGAGTGCAGGGGGGGGGGGCAGGGTGAGGGTCACAAACAGATGCACGTTGAACGCGCGCTCAAACAATCTAAAGCCACGCATCGCACGGATTTCTGTAACGCTCTCCACCGTGCGCCAAGAGGCGTTCTCGTCTCCTCCGGTATCCTAGGGTCAGAGTTACCTCAATCCAGCAGTGCCCGGCTTATATTGGCGAGGTGCGGTGGCATTAGCAGCTTTGCCCATGACAAAAACCTTGATCAACTTCTCTGCCTCGTCTGGGTCTGTGGGTCCGGCCGTGCCCGCGGTGCCGTGCGGTGCGTGCGTGTGCCGGGCCAACCCCCTACCGGCCGTGCCGTTGTAGGCCCCGATCCGCAGGCGGTACAGCGCGACGGCGTCGGCCACGGCGAAGCGGTCGTAGAAGGCGAAGGCCTCCTCGGGGCCGTCGTGCAGGTCCACGCGCAGGTCGTAGCGGCCCTGCTGCGTCAGCCGGTGGAGGTTGTCCAGACCTGGGGAGCGGCGATCGCCAGCGGCCGTCAGAACGTCGCACAGAACCCTTCGTCCGCACGGCCTTCCTTCTGAGAGTGCGTCGTTTCAGCAGCATTGACTCAAGACAAGCAAATTCTGGGCCGGTTTCGACGTTCAGTGTTCTCGTCAGTGGGGTCGGGGCTTGCGCTGATGGGGAAATGGAGTGGCGGTAGTGGTGAGGACGGTGGTGGTGGTGGTGGCGATGAGGGTAATGAAAATGTGCAAACGGAGTGATCTTGGGGTTAGTTTAACGTCAAGCCACCACCCCTGACTTTAACAAAGTACGAGATATCCTGGCAAACAGCTGCCTGCGACGAATGGCGTCGATTCACGGGCACTGTCTAAAAGAGGCAAAACAGCGCGGGGGAGACCCAGATGAATTATACGCTGTCCACACGGTTGATGCACCGTGTGGCAACTCTCAACTTCATGGCGATCGTCACTGGCCATTGTCGCCAGCAACACTTTTATTTATGACGAGCAACCTGCTACAGCAATAGCATACGGTGACCGTGGAGTTCCGGTATTTGCGTGTGTGAATTTTGTAGTGGTTGTGTGCGTGAGCGTGCATGCGTGCGTGCGTGCGCGTTTGGTGGTTGTTGATGGCTGTTGCTGCTGTTGTTGTTGTTGTCGCGGTTGGAGCGGTGGTCATGCCGGTGACCCGCGGTGGCTGTGCTTGAACCGACCGAGCCAGAACTCATCGCGGAGGTCGCCGAATCCCCGCGCATACGACTTCCAATCGCGGAAGAACTCGGTGCGTCCGTTCTGCCGCCGCTGGAACACCTATAGCGACGGGCATGGCGGGGGGGGGGGCGTCAACGCCACCCCGTTAGTGAACGTTGATTGACGTCGATGCAAGTCCGTGCAATATTTTGTGAGTTTCCCATGTGACGCAGTTGCTTTTCGCTCCGATTTCTATTCGCTTCATTTCTGTACCTCGAATTTATTTGTTTTTGCTTTTGTCGATTTTGTGAATCACGTCACTCTGGCAAAATGAGACTTATCCTGGTCTCTTGAGTGGCCACACAAGCCAAACTATGGCCGGCACAAAAAACCCACCGTAGTCTCCGCTGCTTCAACGGAGGATGAGGAACAGCAAAATGACACGAACTCTCTCTCTCTGCCGAAGCCCTCTCATCGTGGCCAGCAGACCTCGACATTGGCATCTGGCTCCTAAGCACATTGCCACTACCATCGTGCGCAATAATGGAGTTACACAACTATACTACACATCCATACTCCACATCTATAATAACAAAAGGAACATTTTGATTAAAAAAATTCCCCACCCAAAAATGTTGTTGGTTAATTTGCGCTACGAATCTTAACTAGGGCCGACATGTATAGGACACATACGCGTGTGTATACACGTGGACACACATTACTCACAATCCAGCCGCCCCCGTCCGTGCTCATGTCACAGAAGACGAGCAGCGGCTGCGACTCGTTGTTGCGCACGTACACCGTGTACACGCGGCTCTCCGTCTCGCCGTTGAGCGACTGCTCCGCGCAGTCCTGGGGGTTCTGGATCAGACGCCCGTCTGTGGTGGGACGCACGCACGCCAAGACATACAGACACAACAAAGCTCCCCCGCATTGCCTTTGACACTCTTTTGGGGTAAGTGCTGGCACGGCACACACCACACCCGGCCACCTTTGTCTCCCCGGTAGCGGAGTTTACACACCACACCAGGTATTCATCTGAGACCAAGTCGACCTCGGGGAGGCCCAGGAACGGTTAAGACAAGCGAGCTAACCGCTACGCTACCGATCCCCGCACACACCTACACACAAAGACAAAGATCCCCCGTGTAGCATTAGCAGACTGTTAGGGCAAGTGCTGCTAGCGAGCTCCTATGAAGGCTCGTACGGCACCCGAGGGGGTGGGTGGGTGGCCAGCACCAAGCACATGCACACACAGGCACACACACGTGTGCGTGCGCGCATGTGTGTGTGCGTGCGTGCGAGCTGGCCGCGCCCGGTACCGGTGGTGAAGTCGGCGAGGGCGGCGGCGCTGCGCTCGTCCCCGCGCAGGGCGTACAGGCCGGCGCTGTAGGGCGTGCTCCTCGTCAGGCCATCGAGATGCCGCGACGAGGCCCCCGCGTCCACCTGCAGCTCCTGCACGGAAACGATACGAAGGTCCCCCGTGTAGCCCACACCGTGGACCGTGACCCTCTGGTACGATCGGCAGAGGTGATCCCGCTGGGACGTGTCAACGCGCCGGTGGCGCCCGTCTCGGACGCGACGAGAGAAAGCCGATCGACGGGGCAAGTTGTAAGTGAATGGATGAGAGCCACGCGTCACGTTAGGTGGACTGATCCGATGCCTGACGGTTCAAGGATTCCGTGGTGGCTAGGGGATGTTAACTACCTAGCCTGGTATAAAGGAGGTCGTGGGTTCGATCCCGACCCTGACGCCTGCTGCTGTATACTTGGGAGTTTGCGTGTCTCTCTCTCCCCGTGGTCACGTGGCTTTTTCTCCAGGTCCTCCGGTGTGTCCCTCCACATTTAGAATGAACATCAGGCATTTCGCGTATATGGCTGCTATAAATTCCCACGTGACGATAAGCCACTTCGTTGAGCTATCATTTGTGATAGCCAGAGTGGTCGCTTCTGAAAAAGCGCTACGTAGCTCAGTGGGCCTTTTATTTTATTCCGGCGAGCCGAGCGTGCGGCGCAGGAGAAGGCGCGTTGTCGCTCACCGTGGTGTCGCCGTCGGGGCCCTGCACCCTCAGCGTGTATCCCGTGATGTTGGCGAGCGGCGGGCGCCACGTGAGCAGCGCGCTCTGCCCGGCCACCTCCACGGCCGCCAGGTCGCGCGGAGCGTCGATCGCTGCAGGAGGCGGGCAGCGGATACCGGGGAGCAGATACGCGGAGGGGACGGCGAGGAGGTTCGTGTGTGCGTGTGTGTGTGTGTGGGGGTGTGCGTGTGTGTGCATGTGTGTGCGTGTGTTGGGGGGGGGAGGGGGAATGGCAGTGCAACGGTTAACGAGCTGCGGCCAACACCAGTGACGATGATCTGAACGGGGTCGTATTTATGTGTCTGTATGTATGTTGAACTTCTTTTGCACCGTACGTAGCCAACCGTGATAATCGGAGGTGCCGTGGAATAACAGATTGGGCTAGTGCTACGTTAGTAAAAGTGAACACAAGGATGGGTGAGCTAGGAACGTGGCGGTTTTTCGCTGTCATGCTGTACGGCTCTCCGATGGAGGCCTAACGGCGAGAAACACTATTGCCGGAGTACAGCAGATGCGGTCACTTCCTTAGTGAATGGACGACCGATGAAGAAGACTGGGCAACGTTACCGCTCAGAGTGACTTTGTCTCATCTCAACACAATTGAAAGGGCATCCCCAGCGGCAGCTGTCCCTGACTCAGCACCTGGCTTGCAATAAGGGGCATTACTGTGGTCTGCCAGTAGGGGAGCGGTGGTTGCAATGCATCATCCAAATTTAGTAATTTGCGGGTCGTTTTTCGAATTCAGAAGCTTTGGCCGCACAAGCCACACTGTACACACGTGCGCTGACTTATGTACACACCCGAGCGTACGCCCACGCACACACGCACGTGCGCACACGCGCACACACATGCACACACACGCACGTACCGGTAGTGACTGAGGAGGAGATGGGCTCGCTCTCGACGGCGCCGCTCAGTGACGCGACGCTCACCTCGTACTCGGTGCCCGGGGAGAGCCCGGTGAGCGTGTGGCTCACCAGCGCGCCCGCCACTGTCACGCTCTCCACCTCGCCTGGCACGGCGGCAACGACGGCACAGCGCGGCGCCGGGGTCAGCGCGGATCGGACGGGGGGGTCAACGCGGCATGGCGCGGGGTCAACAAGGGGTCAACGCGACATGACACGGGGTCAACAAGGGGTCAACGCGCCATGACGCGGGGTCAACAAGGGGTCAATGCGGCATGACGCGGGGTCAACAAGGGGTCAACGCTACATGACGCGGGGTCATCAAGGGGTCAACGCTGCATGACGCGGGGTCAACAAGGTGTCAATGCGGCATGACGCGGGGTCATCAAGGGGTCAACGCTGCATGACGCAGGGTCAACAAGGGGTCAACGTGACGTGCCGTGGGGGGGGGAGGGGGCAAAGAGACGACGGCCCTCTCACCCCCGTCAGTGGGCACGTAGGAGACGATGAACCAGTCGGGCGCGGGGGTCGGGCTCAGCCACTTCACCTCCACCGTGCTCTCCGTCACGGAGCCAAAGGTCACCGCCAGCGGGGAGCCCGAGGCTGTACGAGAGGGCGGTCACACGGCATTGACAGCGCTTCTATTGCACCTCCAATTAGCGCCCCCCCCCCCACCCCGTGCACCTCTGATTAGCACGGTTGGCTACGTACGGTGCGAAAGAAGTTCAACGTGCATACATACAGGTGGCAACCTTTGCCCTTGGACATTGATTTTCAAACAAATTTTTGTATTTTATTTTAAGTGTCATTTTATACACTAGTAAAACAAATATTTTACCCGTACACGAACAGTTACTTCAAGTACTCCCAAAGGGTGTTTTCGCCCATCGCCCATGCACGGATGACAGTGACGATCAAGACATCAGGAGAAAGTCAGAGCAAAGCCCTCTGGCCGATCGAATTTAGCGTCACGGCATTTGGTGCTCATCTCCCGCTTACAGCCCTGCTGAGCCAGCGGTGGAAATTCTGCATTCCTATGGCCTGTCGGCGAGTCCATCCTGTAGCGCAAGCACTGTTAACTTCTCCCCATGGTGGTACTCATTTCATCGACCCTGGAAAGATGATGGGCTGAGTCAACCCACCCAACCAGGGATTGACCTCGCGACCTTACGACTTGCAGCCATTCGCTCTACTGCTGGGCCGGATATGGCATAACCATACATGGGGGGATCGGCGGGGAGGGGTTGGGGGGAGTAGAGGGGTGGGTGGGGGTGGAGCGGCGGGCGGTGGGGGTGGAGGGGGGTGAGGGTGAGAGGCTGAGCGATCGGCCGCAGCACCGTGGCTCCGATAGCCGGGGGGCCTCGCGCTCCTCACCCGTGGTGAAGGTGGTGGCCCGGGACGGGCTCTCCAGGGCCCCCTTGACGGCGCGCACCGTCGCGTGGTACGTGCTCGCCGGGCGCAGCCCCGTCAGCTGCTGCTCGAGGCTGGGGGCCGGAACGTTGAGAGTTTCCTCCTCCTCTCCGCCCGCTGCCGGAACAGAACACGCGAACCGTGGTCATGACGTTGGTGGTGGCGACGCGGTTAAGGCGCGGCGGGCTGACGAGCGAGTTTGATCCCTCGCCGTGGCTATCTGGCGACGAGAGCGACGTGCTTGAGCACTTAACTTACTTGGGGGGGGAGAGAAGGCGATAACGTTCGGAGTAGGATTTTCCAATTGTTCATAAAGACCTGGTGCTGACTGAGAAATGTCTCTGGGTTTAGTCTCCATTGGGACCGGTGGTGGCCCTGTATACGGTACAGCACAACCACAGATTGCTACGTAAACTATAAACGAAACGAATTTTTTTTTCCAGGTAACGCACACTGAGCTACAGAGATAGATCAAATAAGTGGCTTGTCATGTGAAATTTCCTAGCAGGTAAATACTCTGAAAACATGTCGATTCTAAATCTGGAGGGGGAAAACCAGAAGAAAACGGAGGATCCGAAGAAAATTCACACAACCACAGGGAGAATATGATCATTTAAAATATACAGGCATCAGGATCGGGATCGAACTCCACTGGCCTCCTGTATACGAGGCGAGGTAGTTAACAGCTTGCAACCGTTGCAGGACTCTCATTGAATTATGAAGCGGGATTACGATGCGGTACAATATTCTACTTATTTTCCATTGTGGGCAATGCGGCGCATCTGGTAAAGTCCCCCACCCCCCCCCCAGACGACATTGGTGTGACCCCCCAACCAAACCTGACCCAGCCCCCCAACACCCCCCAACTTCCCCATGCCAGTCGCACTCAACGCCCGAGCTCACGGTGGCCGCTCGTGGAGTAGGTGACGATGTAAGAGTCGACGGGCGCCCGTCCCGGACGCCACACCAGCAGCGCCTCGGAGGCCACCACGTTCACGGCCAGCAGCGCCACGGGGCCGTCCAGCACTCGGGTGGCGGCGGCGGCGGCGGTGGCGGCGTGAGAGAGAGAGAGGATGGAGTGGGTGGAGCGTGGGTGAGTTGGCACGGGGGGGGGGGGGCGGAAAGGAGGGGGAAAGCACAAACCAAGCAGACAGCAAAAACTCTGAAATGTCAGATTCATTCGTTCGTTATTCATTCAATCGTCCACCGCCACCTCCCTCAAGCAGCGTGGGCTGGTGGGGCTCAGCCCTCTCCGGCCATCGCGACGCTTACACGGCCGTGGGGGGGAGGGGTGAGGGGAGACCCGGTGCTCCGTTTTGCGCCGCTACCGGTGGTGACGCTCCCCGTGGAGGCGTCGTTGTTGTCGGGGTCGGGGAGGTAGGCGAGCCCCACCGTGTACTCCGTGCCCGGTGCGAGGTCCTGCAGCGTGTACTCCGTCACGCCGCCCGCCAGCGACACCGTCTCACGATCCCCATCTACGGGGGACGGGGGCGGCGGACGCGACGCAATGAGCAGGCTCGCCGTGGCCCCATCATCGTCGTTGTCAGAGCGTCGTAGTCTCAGCCGGAAGAATCCAGAATGCTGTTACAAGGAATTGTCTTGCTGTATGCCAGTGGTGGCGGCGGTGGCAGCGGTGGTGGTGGTGGGGGTGGCAGTGGTGGCAGGGATGGCGGTGGTCGCGGTGATGGCGGCGGTGGTGGTGGTGGCAGTGATGGCGGTGGTGGTGGCAGTGGTGGTGGCGGTGGTGCCAGGGGTGGCAGTGGTAGCAGTGGTGGTGGCGGTGGTGGCAGTGGCGACGCCGGTGGTGGTGACGGTAGTGGCAGTGGTGGTATCGGTGGTGGCGGCAGGCGGTCGTGGTGGTAGTTGTTGCGGTGGTGGCAGTGGCAGGTGGTGGCAGGGGTGGTGGTGGTGGTGGTGGCGGCGGTGATGACGGTGGTGGCTTCGCCGCTGCACGTGGCTGCTTGTATTCCAGCGCCATGGAGGCAGCAGTAGCGAGGGTTGCACCAACTGCGCCGTTCACCTGCCGGCGTTGGCCGACTCACCTCCGCCCGTGAGCTCGTAGGACAGCTGGTAGGAGCTGGGGGTGGGCTCCCTGGCAGCCCAGCTCACCGTGACGCTCGTCTGGGTCACGTTCGAGAAGGAGAGCTTCGTCGGCGGGTTCAGGGCTACGGGAGGGGAGGAGATGACGGGGCATTTGACAGCAGGAGAGGGAAGGGGACGGTGAACAGGATTGGAATGGATAGAGTCAAATAAGCATTGTTTAGCAGATTGTATATACAGGCAGTAGCTGTCATATGGGACAGTCCACCATGCATATGTACACGTGTCCCTCTGTCTAAGTCGAACAAGCATATTCCTTTCTATCCAAATAATTCAGTAAGTAATGTGCAACTGGTAATGCCGAAATGAAAGTCAGTGGTGGAATGCTCACATTTCTATGGCGACTGCTGATTTGCCAACAAAAGTGGTACTTCTTTGACCGATCATGTAAGAATGATGGGCTGCGCCAACCCCCAACCAGGAATAGAACTTGTGAACGCGGCAGATTTTGAGCCGTGCGCTCTCTGCTCCTTTACCACCCCGAGCACACATCATCACGCTGAGATGTCTCCACATCCACCGTACCTCTCGCTCGGGCCGTGGCTACAAGTCGTGGCCCATTCCCTCGCCTACAGCCTACCAACAAGCTGGGAAATATCCCGCGGCAAATGAAGCCCCCCTCCCACCCCCACCCGACTGCAACCAATGGTTTCTTTCTTTTATTCGTTTTGTATAAAGATAAAAACCTCAAGACAAATCTCGGGGCGCAAAACCCGAGTGTGCACGCTCGGGTAACCACACACTGCATGCAAGAAAAATATGAAAATTAGTGCGGCATTTGCGATGTGATGAACAAGGCAGCGGCGGTGGTTGGTTGGTGAGCAAAGTGAATCAAAATAAAAACCCAGACGCGTTCCCAGTCAGGCAATGAAAACCATGCTGAGAACAGAAAAGAAAAACAGAGAATAATTAAAACAGACGAACCCAAGCCATTCTCAAGAGACCACAGATTTCAGTCATGTCACAACTAGAGTTGCCACCTGTCCCGTTTTTCACAGGACCGTCCTCCTCTTTAAGGTGGCAGTTGCCCTTGAAAATATCGGAGTCTTCCTAAAGGACGTTAAAAATCGTCGTTGTTTTTGTCAGCTGTGGAATAATCATCATAATCATCATAATCCTGCACCACCGTTCACACGCAGTTCTCCACTCGTCCTGCATTGCGAGATATCCTTCTTCTTCCGGGGATGATGTCTCCCAGTTGTTATTGTACCTTAGAGGTGGCAACCCTAGTCCACCCCCCACCTCGGAATCGTCCCAATGCGTTAGAATTCATCGTCGCTGATGATGATGGTGGCGACGACGACGACGGTGATGTCGTCGATGAATGGCAGCTTTAGCTGAAAGATGTCGCGCAGCCACTCACGCACAGCGCACTACGCAAGCCCCCGCCCTGCCGATGCACCGGTCCGAGCCCGGGATGGAAGAACGAAAGAAAAGCACGCGATGCAGAGAGAGACGAAGAGAAACAGGCGTTCTCAGCTGATGGGGCCGGTTGACTGGCAGGCAGCAGGCAGCAGGCGGGCGGGCAGGCAGGCGGGTTGGGCAGGAGGGTGGGCGGGCGATTTCGCGGTCGGACTTGGGCATGCGCTCCACGTCGGCGCGGTTACCTGAAGTCCGAGCCACAACCTCGAGGGGCTTCGTGAGCTGTGAGCCACGCACGCCGTGTAACGCTATCTCGTATCGCGTGCCGGGCTGCAGGCCTGTCAGCTTGGCGCGGGTCGCCGAGGCCGGTGCCAGGAGGCTCCACGACTTGCCGGGGATGTCCTTGGAGGGTCCTCTTCCTCCTCCTCCTCCTCTGCCGCCACCGCCGATGGGCCGGTACTTGATGTGGTAATTGTCGGGCCTCGGTTCCTGGGCTGGCCACGTTATCTTAAGGCTGTCGGACGTTACGTCATAGGCCTGCAATGTCCCCTGCAGCGCAGTCCGAAACTGCACGGGGGGAAAAGAGCGGCAGAGGCCGACGATCGTGGGAGGTTCAGCCCGTCGCGTTCGCCCGGGCTCGGTGCCACAGAGCCCATCGCCGCTTTTAAGCGACCGCTCAGTTTTTTTGATCAACCACAGCGAGATTAAGGGGCTGGGATCGACTCCCGCCGAGTCTTTGAACTCGCGACCTTCGCACGCCAAGCCATCCGTAGACATATTAAATGAGAACTAATGTGGGTAATAAACATTGACACCTACTATGGCTGAACCTAGCACGATTGGCTACGCACGGTACGAAAGAAGTTGAACATGCATCACACACTACATATATAGATTGAACACGGAGGCTTTCGCGACCAATGTGATTCATGATAACGTTATTGTTTTTTTTGCTCGCGTAAATGTAAAAAGTCTCGACCTCCCACCTCCACCCGTTTGCTCACCACGTGGCAAGCTGATTAACAGGCTGGCGTCAGGTGGTGGAGGGTGTACGACACGCAATGTTTCCCGACGCAACCTGGCGACGACATTTGGTCGAGAAAGCCCGCGCGTCACGACGGTCCCATCGCAGGTAGCTCGTACCCCCCGCGCGCCGGGAGGGTGCTGCGGTTATCCTCCATGCAATGGATGTTACGGAGGTTGTTTTTGTATGTTTCTTCTTGCCTTACTGAACGATGGATGCACATTCTCCATGCGCACGTGCCGTTGTCCGCGCACGTGCACGCACATTGTAAGCGCTGTGCATGCAAAGAACCGTTCAATTATGTGAGCGCTTCTCGACTCCAGCTCCGACGAAGCCCGCTCCACGGACCGGACTTTCACGTACAAGTTAAGCCACTGCGCACTGCACGCAGTTGAAGGGCGGCAATCACGGAAGGTTGTACCGTGTTACGTAGTGGGGTGGGGGTGGAGTTTGGAGTTGAGAAACACTGACCAAGATCACAATCCACAACCAACCTGACATTTGCCGCATGCGAGTCGGTGTCCACGCTGACGGGAGACGCAACCCAAATAAAACCCAGAGGGCCCATGTGCTGACGACTCTCTGGCCGCGTGCCCCCGGTTTGTCTTACGCGAGCTAGGAAGTTTTGGGAGTGAAAGAAAAACATTTATCGGGGGTCTGACTTTCACAAGCGCCGCCACAGTCACGGTGGACGTGGCTCTGGGTGGCTCTCTTAAGGATTCCCCCCACCCCCACCCCGTCCCTGGCGTTGTGAACGGATGCAGTGACATCAGAATCAAGGGCTGTCGGGTTTTGGGTTGCGTCTTCCTTCAAACACGACGGTGGGACGCTGTGAACACCAGGAGTCGAAAGTGGCCAAAGACTGGAAGGGACATTTGTTGTCGATGGGAAGGAGGTGGAGTTGGAGGGGACAACAGCTTTGGCTGGGCGGAGCGAACTATCCAACCAAAGGCTGGCCCTACTCCCAACCCAGAATAATAGCTAACCAGGCACTACTATTAGCTATACTGCTAACCCTGACCCTAACTTACCAACCAGCCACGACTACTAGCTATACTACTAACTCTGACCCTAACTGACCATCCAGACAGGACTACTAACACTCTCCACCCAACCAACTAGTATTATCCATACCTCTAATCTTGACTATAACCAATTATCCTACCGACCACTAATACTCCCTCCCACTATTCCTCGCCTAAACCAACTTCGCCAACCCACACCACGAGCACTAACCTTCCATGACCCTGACCGTACCGCTAACCCCATCTCCGGCTCCTTCTCTACGACGAGTCCCCTTCCACCCTCCTTTCGCTTTTCGCTTCTGGCGTCCGCTGGGACCCCCGCGCGCTTCAAAGAGAACCGCGCTCCGGCACAGGTGGGCCCCCGCCGGGTACCTGTGGCCACATCTCCCAGCACGGCCTCTCCCGTGGTCATGCCCTTCACGGCCACCAGCGACACGTCGTAGCGCCGCTCGGGCAGCAGGCCTGAGACGAGCGCGTCGCTCTGCCCGCCGTCGATGGTGACCACCCGCGGGCCCTCCCCGGGGCCCTCCCCGGGGCCCTCCCCGGGGCCCGGCGCCGACTCCGACACCCGCAGCACGAAGGCGTCGACCGGCACGGTGGGCGGGTCCCAGGCCACGCGGAAGCCGCTAGAGCTCACGTCGGAAAAGTGCAGCGTCTGCACGGGGCGGAAGCCTGGCGCGGCGCGACAAGGGCACGAGCCACGCTTGATCAGTAACCGCCTCGCCGCACCTCTGTGCCACCAGTAACATCTGAGCCGAGCCAGCGCGGGGGCCATAGCGGTACGAGGTTTGTTCTTTTCCAACTGGACATTTGCCGTAACGAGCCGGGATCAAACCGTGGTTCGCTGGCCTCATGAGACATCTGAATCTGGCTCGGGGGCCAAGCAGGGCCAGGCCTAACAACGAAGTTCACTCGTTTGACATCAAGCGGTTACAGTGTGAGTCGCTTACACCTGTCCCGACGTGTTCGTTGCGTGCGTTGTTAGCAGCACGGCTCGGCTTCTGCAGTGGAAAAAACGACCGGGGCTTCTCCTGAGCTGCGGCGGGACTGTTTTGCTTGAATAAGTGGCTGTCTAATTTAGTAAAAAAAAAAACTTAAAGGACTTTAATTAAATGGAATTTTTTTTTTATCTCACTCAGGATTAGGACAAATATGTACCCCTTCATGAGAAAATAAGCTAAATAACGTCATGACGCATTTACCGTGTCAAGGCAATTCACTGCTCCGAATTTCAATTGCAAACCCATCGAGTGGATGAGAGGTTGCTGTTACAAGACGGTGTCTCTAGGAGGCAGTGCAGGCAAACAGTTTCCTGAAAAAACTATCAGGAAACTGTTGGGTGTCTCTGGACCCGAGGCAAATTGTCCCACCTGCCACGCACTCTCTACGACCCTGACCAAGGCCTTTTAGCAGGGCCTAATTTTCATCCCAGGGCAGTCCGGGGCTCTGCTCTTGATAAGATCACGTGACAAGTTCCTTCCCCCGCACCTCCGATCAGCGCGGTTAGCTACGCACGGTGGGAACAGAAGATCAATGTACATACGCACGTACGTACAAGTCAAGCGCTGTGATCGATTGCAAACAATTCTTTGACGAGAGTATTCCCTCCACGATTCATCACTGACCTACGTCGCACACTAAGGGGAACAACGGCACGAGAGATATTGTTCCCAACCGACCGCCGGCCCTCAAGGCTGAGCGGGCGACCACTGTCTTCACGGAAAACTGCTCCGCTACTCTGTTCCGCATCGTTCCGCGCGACTCGCCATCACCTGTGTTCGCCGACAGCGTCGCGGGCCGGCTCTTCTCGAGGCCGCTCTCGGCCTGCAGCACCACGGTGTACTCGGTCGCCGGGCGGAGGCCCGTCAGGTTGGCCGACGTCTCGGAGCCGGGCACGGCCAGCTCGCCGATGGCGCCCGTGCCCGAGATGTGCATGATGGCGTAGCGGTCGACGCGCGCCCGGCATGGGTCCCAGCGCACGGTGAGGCCCGTGTCCCACGCGTTAGTCACTTGAAGGTTCAGCGGGCTGTCCATCTCTGCAACGACGCGCGCAAAGGTCGAGGGTCAGCCGGGCGGCGGTGGCTACGCGCTGTGGAGGCGGCAGCGGCAGGTTGGCGGATGACCTCTAGGAATTCTTGCGGAAAACCCATCCAGTGGGCATCAAGGTGCCGTACTTCTCTGGCTCGCCGGTATGGGATAGAGCGTTGCCCCCTTGCACGCGTGGGTGTGGCCCGTGTGGTCCGGTTTCCTCCCGCACGTATATCTAGACACTCATTAATTGGCTGAAAACATCTTGGGCAACTGTTGGGGCCGGCTCATGGCCTGGCAGCTTTGCCTGAGGTTCCTCCCACCGCTGAGTTGCTGGGCCACCTCCAAAAAGAATTAACTTAACAGTTACCTTTTCACAGCCAATTATTACGATTTGAAAATAGATTTTTGAACAAAAGGCATTGAGTGGCCTAACCCAGAAAATCAATGACGAATCCATTATCATGCCCATTATTTAACCAGGAGATGAAACAGCATCTGAAAACTCCTTTCTTCAGAACCGATTTTTTTGTGTTTAGTTTGTTGTTGTTGGCTACGTACTTTGCGAAAGAAGTTCAACATACACACGTGCCTCTTTTGCAAGGGCGATCAATGACGGGCGCATTGCATACGTGGTAGGAAACCGGAGTGCCTGGAGAAAATCCACGTGGGCGAGGGAGACAACGCTCCATCTCCATACAAAATGGAACGGGTTCCACCTTGCTCCACTGCCGCACCCGGGCAAGCCAGGTGATGGCGACATCGATGCCCTCGGGAAGAGTTTCAGGAGTTTGTCCGACCCACACAACCCTCGCCTCCATGGATGGTGCTGGATTACATCCCAAGGAAACTCTAATCAGAGGGGGGGGGGGGGGGTTGGTGGGCCCTCCTGAGTGACCACGGTGGGGGGGGGGGGGTCATGGGAGGATGGTGGTGCGGGTGCCCCCCCCTTACCTGTGCGGGTGTTGATGGTCGAGGGTTTGCTCTGAATGTCGCCCCTGTATGCAGTCACCCCGACGCCGTACTCTGTCCCGGGCATCAGGTCTGTACGCTCGTTCACATTCACAGCAGTGACACCCAGTCGTGAAGCTCGGCATTTAACTCAGAGTCACAGGAGTTACACTCACTGTTACACAATGCTAGTTGACGATGCTGTTTCACTTGTTACATTTTGTCGTCACCGAGACATTCTATAGTTGCCCATTCCCTGCCATGTTTAATAAATTCTGTTTACGTTCAATCATTTTTTTTTAAACGGTTGCCCGCAAGGGGGGCAGCCAAAGAGCCGCCCGCACGCGGCTTCGGAGCCGCCGGGTGCTGATTCCTGGGCCAGATCGTCACGGGGGGCCCCGACCCAAATGTCGATTCTGAAATGTTCGACGCTGCGGACGCCGCAGGCATCGCCAACGAAGGCCCCTCCCGCTAGGACGAGCGGGTCGGGGCATCGGCGCGCACCGGTAATGGTGACGGCGGAGGTGAGGTCGGGCCCCTGGTGGGTGACGTTAATGCTTCCGTGGGGGCCGCCGGCGATGGGGGCGAACACCACCCGGTAGCCGTCCACCTGGGCGCGGCTGTTCTCCCACTCGAGCAGCAGGCCGCCGCCGCTCTCGCCCTGGTGGCTCGCCCTCAGGTTCCGCGGCGCGTCCAGCGCTGGGGACAGAGCGGGGGGGGGGAGGCGGGGGGGGGGGGGGGGGGTGCCGTCACAAGTAATTTCCGGGAGCACGGGGCAGGGAACCTACGGCGCGCGAGCCAGAAGCGAGCTGCAACTCCGTGTAATTCGCCCCGCGACTTGTATATGTGTCCATGCATGTTGAACTTCATTCGCGCCGTACGTAGCAGACCGCGCTCATCATTTAATTCGCCCCGCGACTTCGTTCTTTTGCATTTCGTGGCCACGTGAGGCCTACGACTGTCAGCATAGTAGCGGCACTAACCGTCAACTAGAGGGGGCTCATTGTTTCTCACGTTTTATTTCCCCACAAAATATTTGTGAAAAATGGAATGCTCGGCAACATGCCACATCAGTCTATCTATCCGTCGGTCCATGCGTCGGTCAGTCCTTCCATCCGCCATCGGTTGATCTGTCTGTCCGGTCGTTCATCAATCCATCAGTTGACCCATCTGACCGTCCATTTGTCCGTCTATCCATCAGTCTGTCCATCCGTATCCATCCGTCGGTGTCTGTCCGTCCGTGGTCCGCGCGCACCGACCTGTGGTGAAGCTGGCGTGCAAGGCGCCGCTATGCGCGAGGCCACGCTCTGCGCGCAGCGTCGCGTGGTAGAGGCGGCCGGGCCGCAGGCCCTGCAGCGTGTACTCGGTGGCCGTGGGCGGCAGGCCCAGCTCGGTGGGCCGCGCGTCGCCCGTCGTGCGATACGAGAGGCGCAGGCTGGTGACGCGCGCGCGGCTCCGCTCCCACGACAGGTGCGCGTACGAGTCGGTCACCTCGCGCACCTCGAAGGCGCGAGGGCCGTCGATCGCTGACGCGTCCGTGCGTCGAGGCAGCGGCGGGGGTAAATCAGGATCGGGATTTGGGATCGGGGGGGGGTGAGGATCAGGACCGGGATCGGGATGAGGATCAGGATTAGAAATGGGGAGGAGGCCAGCGGTGGGAGAGATTTGGATAAGGGTGGAATTTTTGGGGTGGGAAAAGGATCAATGTTTTGGGGATTTTTGTTTCAGAGAGGGGATTGAGGAACGGCTGGGATCGGAAGGGGAAATGAATGATGGATGTGTAAGGGTGGGATGTTCGGCGTGGGATTTTTGGCTCTGAAGGAGAGACACACGACGGTTTTTGAGGATGGAGGTGGGATTCAGAGGATCGACGCAGCAAAGAGGGTGCCGTGGAATTGGGCAGGGTTTCAAATGGACGGCGATTGTCAGGTGTGGAATGTGGTGAGAGGAAATGAAAGGGCTCGCAGAGACAACGGAAAGGGGTTTTGACGCGATGATTACAGGTGTGCGGGGAACGTCGCTTGGGATGGACGCGGAATGAGGCAGCAGCACGGAGGAGATTACGGGAAACAGGACCGGCAGGGAGCGTGCCACAGTGGGGTTTGTTTACCGGTGGCGAAGTTCGTTTACCGATGGAATTTGTTTACCAATTGAGTTTATTTACCGGTGGAGTTTGTTGTTTACCGGTGTAATTTGTGCCAAGCATGGGGCGGAGCGAGGGGGGTCGCGATCATTTTCCAGGCAGGTAGCGGCAAAGCGAACACGAGCGCGGGGAGCATGGGGCAAGGGAGTCGATGCAAGACACGGAACAGGTGGAGGTGTGAGTGGGAACAACGGAGGGCAGGTAATGGGGATTCAGGTTTGCAGGTAAGAGCGGGAGTTTGAACACAGAGAGAATTCACGGCCGTTAGTTATATTTCCTTTTTTTTTGTTAGCACAGACTGGTATAGATGCATACGTATCATGAGCAGTATACATTACAAGTCATTGACAAAGCAGTAGAACAAACAGCTCAAGCCGACTGTGATAGCACGTACGCGAACTAAAAAAAAGTTGACTTCGGCAGCTAGGACATGGTCGGAATCTCGGGTGTCATTTGCAGCCGAGTGATGGCCAACCGCTCGCGAGGGCGGACACCGGCGTTGGTTTTTATTTTGGGATGGCGACCACCACTAAGCTGTGTTCAGAACGTGCGCAAGAATGGTGGCGGCATTGAGGCGTGCAAAGCATGCTGGGATTTAAAACAACAACGAAAAAAGCGTCACAGTTTGTTCTTACGAGCTGGTGGACGGTCCGAGGGATGTGCGTGGAACATGCACAGGAATGGTGAAGTCGTCTAGACGTGCAAGGCATGCTGGGATTCATGACATTGTTTCTTTTGAAGGACACATCTTTGTGCGCATTATAATTCGTTTTCAGCTTTGCACTCATCGCAAGGTCGTTTTTTCTTCTGAATCGCCTCTTAAGCTGGAGGGAGTGGGTGGAAAAAGTCTTTGAATTCTGACAAAGTCCCATCGCTGTCACGGCACCGTTGTTATTGTGACTGAAGAAGGCTCGTTGCACGGCACGCAAGCGCTGCCGAAAAGTTGATGAGAGACGGAAAAGTTCGCGGGCGGGCCGGGGTCGGTTGAGGGGGAAAAAAAGACATCAACGGCTCGTATCGCGATCGCATTCCAGGTCGCGCAGGTGCGAGCGAGCGAGCGGAGGTGAACGCCGCCTTGCGCTTCAAGGGACCCCTCGTCTCGTGTTTAGGCGGAAGATGAAAGCCGGTGGTGGTGAATCGAGGTCATCTTTGTTTTTTTCTAGTTTATTGTACTTCTATGACCTCTTCCCCCTCCCTCCCTCCCTCGCCCTCCGGTTGCCGGGCTAGATTCCTGATTTATCTATCAAAGAGATGGAAAACCAGAGGGAAAGATGATTTACGTGACGTCTGACATCGCCTCTCTCAACACCGCCGCAAGATGGGTGTGAAGCTTCGGTCAGTTCACTGGCCGGTTCGCTTGCGGCGAGGGTAAATGTGGGTAGTTGCGTGGGTAGCCGCCAGTGGCTGATTGCTGCCTTCGTTTGGGGGGTCTACGCGGTTTTGCAGTCACGCAGGTGGATCCGTGTGAGAAACTGGAAAGTGCTGGCAGTGTCCTCTCTCACATTGAGACCCGGAGACTCGCACGGAGGCCCACATACTCTCACACACAGTCACCATAGAGATAAATGCGGTCACGGAGACCGATTGGAAAAACAACAACTGGCGTGCAATGGCAGGTGCTCCATCATCGGTGCTTTCTCCACCAGTGCGGCACATGGAAACAAAGCCAAAGATAAAGATCCCCCGTATAACCCCCAACAGACTGTTGGGCCAAGTGCTGTTAAACGAGCACCTATGAAGGCCGGCACGGGACACAAAGGGGGTGGGTGGCCAGCGACCTTTCCCGGACGCCTTTGTCTCCCCATTTCTGATGTTTACACACCACACCAGGTACTCCTATAGGAGGCCAGGACCAGTCCACTGTTATTGGTCGTGAGGAGAAATCCAATTCAGGTCATGGGGTTTGTAGCGCAGTGTGCTAACCACTGTGCCACTGCTCCCTATGTATGTATGTATGAGTGTGCGCATTCCCACACATATACATACATACATGCGTATGCATAATACATACATACAGACATCTGCAACTTTACTTTAGTCGGTTGAGAGCTCATTAAGGCAGCAGTCGCTTCCGCAAGGGAGAGCACACAATCCATGCAGCTTCCTGAAAGAACTGCTCTGGTGGTAACCCACCACAACCTTGCCTTCGCCTTGCTTCGATCTACGAATCCAACCGCACGTGCAATCTAAGACTGAAAAAAGTCGAGGCTGAATTTGTGGCCTCCTCAACGTTTGGAGTCAGGCCCCCCCCCCCCCCCAGCTCCTGCCACTCATCTGGCCAAGGTGGAAGAGTCGGTCCCCCGTTGCCCCGTTTCACTGATCTCCGCTGTACGCAGGAGCGACCTCTGCCTCCTCCCTTCCACTCGCATTTCCTCCGGGGCCACCGCCAGTTTGCGAAGTGAACGTGAGAGAAGTGGGATTGACGTGGGCAGTTGGGGTAGGGAGTCTCGGAGGGCACAGGCACTTGATCCACTCCACCCCACTCCCCACTTTGTCCCCACCCACCCACCCACAGCCGCACTACGCGCAACCCCCGACCCTCGTTTTTCGAAATAAAAATACAAAACAAAGCTAAGTGGAAAATTCAGCCGCCAATGACGTCGGCCCGCGATTACCCTTGACAAATAAGGGAGCGCTGGTCGCGCGGCACGCTAATTTCAACTTTGGCAAACCACAACGTGCCCAAGGCTTGAAGCCCGTGTCGTCGTGACGACGCTCTCGGCCGCTCGGATCAAAGGGGCCTCCCTGTGACCGCAAAAAAGGGCTCCGGAAACCCCTCTGTAAGGGGGAGAGACGAGAGGTAAAGTCTGAGGGTAAATAAACAGGGGCGTTCGAGGCGGGAGTGCCACCCGTGTCACTGTACGAACCAGGGCCGGACCCGAAGTATATGCAGCTACAATGGAAGTCAACGGCATTTGAGCACGGGCGCCCGAGACGGATGCTGGGAATTTCACGTCTTCTTCTTTCGCACCGCCGATGTCGACGCCGAGCGACAGCTCGCTGCAGTGTGCGATCTGGGCGGTCGAGCCAGACAACTGCGTCGGGAGCCGGCTGGAGTTGTATCGCCTTTCCCGTGGCGAGACGCAAGAAGCGACGCAGAAGTACGGTCGTGAACACGGGGCTGGGTATGCGTGCTGTCTAGCGCCGGGTTCGGGGAAACGCGTGCGTAGCAGCGGCGGCGGTTTACTGCCGAGTCGGGTGAAAAGGAGCGGCCTCAGCGAGAGTGGCGGACCAACGGGAAGAATAGGGGGGCTTGAGGACAGATGTTGGTTGGACACTGTTCGGGCAAATGTTGGAGGTCACGTCGCCACGGTGCTGCAGGTGCGGGGTCTGGCGGAGGGTATAAAGAGTTGGCAATGAGGGGCGGTGGCGTCAGCAGCTTTGGCCGTGACGACGTCATGAACTTTATCTACAATATTGGTAATGCGAATGTCCGGTGTTTAGGAAGCCGCTGGAGCTGTGCAATTATAAATCTAGATGCTGAAAACTAATTTGTCGTCCTTCCCCCTGCACATCCGATTAGCGCGGTTGGCTACGTACGGTGTGAATGAAGTGCAACGTACGCACAAACATACGTACAACATACGTACAAACACACATACAACATACGTACAAACATACATACAGCATACGTACAAACATACATACAACATACGTACAAACATACATACAAATATACATACGTACGCAGCAGCCGAACACGGCGGCGTCCGTGCCTGTTGCAGCGGCTAACGAGGGGGCAATCTTGTAATTTGGCGATTTGTAGCAAATCCAAAAAAACGAGCTTTGATGGCAAACTTTGTTTTTACAACGCAGCCGGAGAGGGCAGCTCTCAAATGCGCCCATTTAAGGTGCCCTCACCCACGGGATAATCATCGCCCGGAATGCGGCCGACCCCGACAGATCTCGGAAGCTAAGCGGAGTTTGAACCTGGTCAGCACCTGGATGGGCGATCACACGCGTGGCAGCTTTTGCCACGCGTGTGCGCGCGTTTGCGGCCGGACAAAGACAGGGAAGCGGCAGTGTGGTGGTTAGCGTGCCGCGCTATAAACCCGGCGGGCCGAGTTCGACTCCCGCTCAGGGCCAACACCAGTGACGATTATCTGAACAGGCCCTGGGCCTCCTCTAGGTCGACTCAGTCTCAAATGAGTACCCGGTGCGGTGTGTAAACATTTCCACTGGGGAGACAAGGGTGGTCAAGCAGGGTGTTGGCCACCCACCCTCTTGTGGATCGTTCCGGCCTTCATAGGTGCTCGCTATCAGTACTTGCCCCTACAGTCTGTTAAGGCTATAGGGGGATCTTTGTCCTTTGTGTGGCTGGAAAGAATGGGATAAATGACTGCGGCACGGGAAAAGGAGGAAATGGTTCTGATGCGAAAGGGAAGGATTCAGAGCTGATTGGACTTGCCGATGACTGATACCGGCAGTATCCAGATCGGCACTGGGCAGTTGGAGGCGGTCGCCCTTCAGCAACGACAGAGGGCGGAGAAGCGACGCTGACAACAGCAAGGGGATAGCCGGGCGGCTAAAACGCAGCAAGTTGGCGCAATGGAGAGCACAGGTGGTGCATCCGCCGGTCATCTCAGTCAGTCAACCCATGGCACCCTGGGTCTGTTCCGTGACCGCCTGTCAGCAAGCCTTCGACACTTCATGTGGCCTCAAAGTGCACCGAGCCTGGCACAAGCGCCGCGGTGGCGTCATCGCAGCTTAATAGTTGTTCACGAAAATAAAATTAAATAAACTTCCGTCAGTAACAGGAAAATATCAGGTGGGCTGACGCTTTTGGGCAGAGAGAGGGGGGTACATTCTGACGGTGCAGGCACAGCGCATACGTTACGCGCGACTCTACTCCGTGCGTGTGCAGGGAGCTCGCACGCGCATGGAGACAATGATCCTCACGTGGCCTCTAATAGGCCGTTGGGGCAAGTGCTGTTAGCGAGCACCTATCGACACCGAGGGGGGTGGCCAGCACCACGCCCGACCGCCTTTGTTTCCCCATTGTTGATGTCTACTTCACACCACACCAGGTACATAAGGCCGAGGCCCCAGAACCGCTTCGGATATTCCCCCACCGATGTTGATGACGAGTGGGAATCGAAAACTCGGGTTCCTGGGTTCGTAGCGCGGTGTGCTGACCACTGCGCCACCGCTCCCCACACACACGTACACGTGCGTGGGTTATATAATAATGGGGGGCTGGCCCGTAGCGTGGAGTTTCCTGGACTAAGTTTTGCGGCACGAGCACCTGCAGCGGTGAGTCCGTGCGCCGGAACGCGCGCGGCCGGTGCTGCACAACAAAACAAAGATCCCCCCTTGTAGCCTTGTAGAGTATTGGGGCAAGTGCTGTCAGCGAGTAGCAACACCTACGAGGCCGCCCCACGTGGGTTGCCGGTACCACGCCCGGCCGCATTTTGTCTTCCCTCGTCGCGATGTTTACACACCGTACCCAGGTACTTGTTTGATGTTGAGTCAAGCTAGGGGAGGCCCCGGACAGATTCACTGGTGCACGCACAGACAGTCTCACACACACACACGGGCGCTACGACCAAATACGTGCGCGGGAGCGCAACGGCTTGTGGCTTTGCCTTGGAGGCAAAACATGTAAATGTTCCCATCAAGTTTGTGCGCGCGATGATGATGAGTGCGGACCGCGACGCCTCCAACCCACCGCGCATCACGCGCTGCCGCCCGAAGCGGATCGTCGTGCGGGGTGTCAGAATTTCAGCGAAACCCCCCAACATTTTCCGTGTGATCGTTTTGCGAACGTGACCGTGAGTGGGCGGCGAGGATGGCAGGGGGGGGAAGGGGGGGGCGGCAGCACTCACGCGTGGCGAGGGTGGCGGCGGCGGGAGGACCGTGCGCGCCATCCAGCACGCCCACCAGCCGCACCTCGTACTCCTCGCCGGGCAGCAGGCCGCTCTGCACGTGCGACGTCGCGTCACCGTGCAGGTCCGTCACCACGTCCGCCGCCTGCGAGCCCGCGCGGGAACGAGAGAGAGAGAGACGAGAGACGAGAGACGCCCGCACGGTCGCACGAACGTTGGTTTTCGTTCACGGTCACTCTTCCGTCCCTTGCGAAATTTTAATGCAAAGGTGCGGTCTGATAAAACCCGAGATAATTTCTCTTTCATTTCTACACGTGAGGATCTCTATAATTATTATCGATGACGGGCCCATGATATGTATATTTTTACACCGTACGCAATCGATATTTTGAAACGCATCGAGCTTCACGTGGAATGCGGAGGGCCGGTTGTGCATTTGCGTGGCAGGTGGAACGTGTACGAGGGGTCACGCGCAGTGACCGGCGGCTGCGGTTACCCCGTGGTGGAACGTAATCTGCCAGCCGTCAAGCGGGACGGAGAAGGGTTCCCACACGACCTCCACCTCCGTCTCCGCGATGGACTTGAACCTCAGCCCCTCGGGCTTCGACAGATCTGCGGCGGCGCACATGGGGAGGGTGGGGTGGGGAGGGCACAGCGAGAGGTCACGTCACGTGGGGAGGGGAAGCGACGTGATGGGGTTGATCTCTCTCCCGCTCTCTCTCTCTCCCGCTCTCTCTCTCTCTCCCGCTCTCTCTCTCTCTCCCGCTCTCTCCATGCGGCTGTGGTACTCCCCTGCGATGCACGACCATTTGCTTTGAGTCTCACGCAGGCACCGTGTGGACACGTGCTCGACGAAAGTCTAACGGGTCTTACTTTAACGGCTGGGTTCACACAGGCGAACGTTACGAATCGTGTTTGATTTGAGTCGGGCCACCGTAATGAACTGGCAAAAGTTTTGAGTTTTATCAGGTTCTAAAGGACCATTATATACGAATGCAACCACCTTCTCCGGGTCCTCTGTTTTTGCCCTCCACATTTAAAAACATGCATTTAGAGCAAGGCCGTAGCCATGGAGTCAACATTGGGGGGGACCAAATCTTCCAGGGTGTCTGGGGGTCTCAACCCATAAAAATATATCAATTTGAAAACTCACTTCCTGTCTAATAGTGTATTGTATTACATTGCTCTGTTTTTACTTTTTTACCATTTCTTGTTTCATTGTATATAATGGCAGAAATTATGGATTCATAAAGTACAACCATAACAGCAATCATATAAAAATAAATCTATGCATTGATTTATATGAAGACAAGTCCAGATATTGTGGCCAAGGTTTAGCAAATTGTTGTTTTATTCTTTTTTATAGCAATATGTTGGGGGAGACATTTTGAGCATATTTGAATATTGGGGGGAGATGTGTCCCCCCCAATATATTTTATAATTATGGCCTTGATTTAAAGTATTTTGCCGCTTTACATTTCCACACGATAAGCCCCTTTACTGAGCTATCAGTCGTGGCCAGGTCGCTTCTGAAAAAAGAGCTATATAGCTCAGTGGGCCTTACCTGGTAAAATAAAAAAGAGTTTCGTTCAAATCGTGTTCCCTGTGTGTACATTTTCTCTGTTGTCTTCCCCCCACCACCCCCGAAATATTATCCTCTTTGTGCTGCCAGTGTCATTGTGCAAGATGAAGAATCCTTTCAGAACTCTCGCGTAGCAGTGCAGCGGCCCGCAGAAGCGGATCTCTAAGAACCGTTTCCCGAGGTCACTTTGCGTGACCTCTGATCCACACGGTAAAGGTCGGCACGTCCCGCCCCACGCTGCTGCTTCAGAGTAAATGTTTGTCACGTGACAGCCAACCCAACCCAACTCCCCCCCCCCCCCCCCGTAATTTTTATTTCATTCTGATAGCTGACGTTTAGCCAAATTATGCCTATAACCACGTTTAATTGCGATTTGTTTATCGTGCAGCCATTGGTGACCAGGCTGAAGCCGTAAACTCGCTCGGCTTGAGAAGCGCGGCTTAATCGCAGGCAGATGCCTGCGATTCGAACCGAGGCTCTCTCGGACGCCAGCTCGGCTCTCGAACCTCCAGGCCACCTGGCCACAAACGTCGAGCAGCGAACGGGCAGGAGCCAGCTCCGCGGGACAACAGGGACAAGGCCCAGAGGGAGCAATTCACTTGCTTCTCATTAGTTGTTATGTAACGGGCACACATTTCGCTTTCTTTAACTTATCATTCTGATTCAACGTCGAAATTAATGTCTAGCTTGTACCCATGCCAACAACGCTGCGCCCCCCCCCCCGCCCCCCCATTAATGATTGCAGCGCAGAGACCCAAAAACTCCCAGACGACCCCAGTGGGCTTGGCGAGCGAGCGAGACCTACTGTGAGGTCCAGTCGAGGACAACAGCAGAACTTTTTAAGTCGAACTCTGTGGATTTCATTTCGTCACTCTCTCAAGCCTAGTTGACTAAAGCGGTCAAAATATAGCCCCACTTAGCAGCTACGCTTCTTTAGAGCTGCTTCTTGTCCTTTAGTTTGTTGTCCTTACACCCGCACCTCCGATGAGCGTGGCTGTCTACGTATGGTGCGAAAGAAGTTCAACGTACGTACGTACAAATGTAAATGCGAGGAGCTTTTTCAATCCCCCCCCCATCATTAACTATCGGGTCAGGATATCAGCAACGTCATCAATTCTCTAGACTCTACTCTCTATCGACTTATACGTCCAATTGCCACGAGTGTGTTCCGCAGGGCACCGCGGCTCCTAGTGACGCTACTAAGCCGTTCTCGACCTCCGTCTTCACTCGTTGGCTTCGTGTCGTCAAGATCCGTCGCGCCGTCGCGTTTTGGTGAACGGTGGTCGCAGTCCTCGTCACGATTTGGTGATTTCCATCCCCTCATTGTCAACGTTGATACCGTGAAAAAACACAATTCGCTGATGGATATTTTCACCACTTTGTCCACTTCAAACATGTAACACCGCGAGCCGCCGCAGTCCATCTTAAGCCCCCGTGTGTGCGCATGCGTGTGTAGTCACGGCTGAAAGGGTCTTTTGTGGGGGGCCGAGGGTGGGGAATTGGTGGGAAATTTGAGATCTGCATCCGATGGTTAAACCTACACGTCTCAGACCTCTCTGCGTCCAAATCCGGAGAGAGAGAGAGAAAAAGCAGCAGCCTTACGCGATTAATTTTAACCTCCGATTATATTTTTTCATCGAGGCATAATAAGCTAGACTTGCCTTTGATGACTGTAGGAAGGGGATATTTTTTACGAGACCGATTGGTGGTGGGGGGGGGGGGTCCACGCACGATGCCCGTGTCGGATTAGTTTCGTGTATTTTTTCCCCGCCTGGGTCAAAACCTCCAAGAAGCCACGACCGCCGGGATTCCACAGCGTATAAATTCATGCCGCGCGTAACGGTGCAGCTATGTGGTCCGTTGTACCATCCGCAAAAAAAAATATATGTATTTGTTTTAACCTCTTACATTAATCTTCTTGGTTCTTTCGGTAAAGTCACGTAGAAGGGAAATAATAAAATAATAAAAATTAAACATAATAAAATAATTCTCACGACGTTTCCGCCACAACGCAAGCAGCCGTCCTCAGGTGAAGACCAGGTCTGTCGGGGAGACAGCGTCGGGGAGACACCGTCATTCAGACGCTGTCTCCCCGACAGACCTGGTCTTCACCTGAGGACGGCTGCTTGCGTTGTGGCCGAAACGTCGTGAGAATTATTTTATTATGTTTTATTTTTATTATTTTATTATTTCCCTTCTACGTGACTTTACCGAAAGAACCAAGAAAATTCATGTCTGCAGTCACGAAAGCTTTAAATCAAAACTCTTATATTAAGTTAACAATCGTATCTCCAGGCTCTGTCTGGGAACTATTTATCTCGAAAGAACCTTTCAAAATAAGGCTCACACTGCTGATGAGACCACCTCTCCAAAAAAAATGTGGAGTCTTTATCCTCGTGTGTACGATGATGCTGTGATGATGCTGTGTTGCTGTAGAGAGTGTTACTTCAGCGAGTAGCGGGATGCACAACAAACCCGGCCATCCTGAGTTCGATTCCCGCTCGTGGCCAAATAAGAGTGGTGATTATCTGAACCAGGTCCTGGACCTCCCCTAGGTCGACTAGCGCGGTGGTGCTCGCTAACAGCACTTGCCCCAAGAGCCCATGTAGGCTACACGGGGAACCTTTGTCTTTGCGTATGACGCCGATTGTTTGTGCAGCGTCGTGCGATGATACGGCTGCGTGTTTACAGCCACTTTGTCAATCCGCTGACGGATGAGGGCCTCACCGCACCGTGTCGGTCATGGGCAGGGGCCGGCAACGAAAATAACAAGGAGAACCTTTTTGTTAGAATTTGAAAGAAAAAAACCCCTAATTTTTTTTAAAGAGCCGCAAAGCACTGTGGTGAATACGAGACGGTGATCCTGGGATAAATAATGTCGCGAAGTTCCGGAGCCGCAGTTTGCCGACCCCTGGTCATGGAGGGTGCTTTAACCATACTTCACCACATTGGTCACGGAACGCTGGTGAAGGGGGTGGCCAGGACAGGGTTCAGACATCACATCAAGCAAACTCATGTCACAGCAGTTGCGGTGCACGAACTACGACCGTGCCACTGCTCCTCCCGTGGGCGAGTTTAGGCACTTTCTAAATCCAATTGTATGAACATTGTAATGTAAGCTTTGTCCCACTGCTCACTGGAGACAGAGTCTGTAAAGCCCAGGATTATCACTCCCAGCCTGCACTGCAGTCACATGAGGACGCTAATACCACATAAAGGATAATAATGTCTTTGTCTTTGCGTTACCCAGAAAAGCCCGAACTAAGCCGATAGACTCTGAGAAAACAAATTGTTTGGTGGCGCTGCGTCGAGCAGTGGCGCACGAGCAGAGAAACACATTCGTGGCCTTAAAAATATATTAAATAAAACATTGAATGTGTTTGCATTAATGTAGGGCCCCATTTAGAATGCCTGACATTTCGAGACCACTGCCCCCCCCCCCCCCCCAACCCATTGCCCCTTGGGAGGTTTCTAGATCGGCCTCCGCCGAGCCCTGCGATGGCCAGTGTTGTTACATTGCCCTCACAATCGGGGCCCTAAGCCGCCCGGTGCTTCCTCAACAGAAAAAGCCTGCAAGGCCTCAGCGCAGGACTCAAGAGAACAATTTTCCTTCCCTTCGTTTCTTAACGAGAACAAACGCCCCCCACCCACCCCACCCACCGACTCCCAACGCGACGCGACCCCGCGACCCGCAGGCATATGGCTCTACTTGTGACACTTTTCTTAAACGGCGGGCGGGATCGTAATGAAACACTCCGGAGTTCGAGGGGTCACGATTCCCCCCGCACGTCGCTGGTTACTCAAGCGAGGCTTTGGACAAGCGCGGTTAACGACATTCGCTTCCCGAATTTTAACCCCCCCCCTACACACCCCACCCACCCTACTCCCCCACACACACCACGTGCGCCCCTCCACAACAAAAACAAAACCCCTTGCACCGTTTCCAAGCTGGTTAGCATCGATCATCGCCCTACGCACTTCGCAGCGCGAAAACGGCTGCGTCTGTTACAGCGGCGAGAGAGATAAAGTGGGGTGGGGGGGAGTTTTTAAGAATGGATTTTGTTGTTGTTTGTTGTTGTTGCGTGTGACGATCGTAGAAAATACAAAGGGTGCAGACGAACACGCACGCAAAACACATTGGGAATGAGAATGGACGATGAGGTCGCAGTTGTCTCCCAATCATATGCAGGAGGCCGTGGGTTCGAAACCCGACCCTGACGCCTGCTGTGTATTTGGAGTTTTGCGTGTCTCTCTCCCCTTGGTCGCGTGGAGTTTTCTCCGGGTTTCCCGTTTTTTTCCTTCAACGTATTTGGCTGCTATTAATCTACATGATGACGAGCCACTTCGTTGAGCCATCATTTGTGGCAGCCGGGTCGCCCATGAAAAAAGAGCTATGTAGCTTATTGGGCCCTTACAAAATAAAAGAAAGGTTCGGTTGTTTTCGTGGAGTTCACTTACGCGTGTGCACGCGCGCCGACACGGGCACACTGAGCAGGCCGTTGAGTACGGCCTGCACGGTCACCAGGTACTCGACGCCGGGCTCCAGCTGGCGCAGCGTCGCGTTGCTGCTGTCGCCCGTCGCGCGAACCTCCAGCACGAGGCCGCCGGGGGCGACGGGCGAGTAGCGCAGCACGTACTCGGTCACCACGAGGTCGTGGGCCCACGCCAGGTCCACCGTGCGGTCCGTCACGCCCGTCACCGTCACGTTCCACGGCGGGGGCACTGCGGTGGCACGCCAGGAGAGAGCGAGGTTGTCGTCATCGTCGTCATCATCGTCGTCACAATTATCATCGTCGTCGTCATCGCCATCGTCGTCGATACGCACTTCTGCGGCCGTCTGGAACGCTCTTCCTTCCGATATTAGGAAGCCACTGCAGCTCTGCACTTTTAAATCTAGATTGAAGACTCGTTTCTTGGGAATTGCTTTTTGTGTTTTGTTTGGTGCGAAATACGTTCAACATACATACATAGGAGACATCTACATCTGCCGTAGCCTCCTCCTGGAAATCTGTGTGGCCACCCCCTGCCCTGAATCCCTCCTCTCTCATCGACATATCATCTCTCGATCTCTCTCATTGCTAGATCAGCTCACGCCTCTCTCCTCAATGCTTCTTTGTGCACTTCTCAGCTAGGAAAGGAAACAGTGGTCAGGACTCTTTCTGTTGTAAGATGAGTCTGAATCCAGGAGAACAAGCGAAACAGGGACTGTGTGTGTGTGCATTTGTTTATTGACATTATTAGTTGTGTATGTCCCCCACTTAGATTCCAGCTGTGCTGTCGGTATAATTTCCCTTCAAAAGTGTTGGTTGCATGGCGATGAAACCCATAATAGCGGGTTCGGGCATTCAGACTAAGTGGCCGTACCCATACCACACTTCTCACCGTACTCCTCGTTCTGATATGAAGGGGCCGCCACCACCGCCACCAAATTGAACATCGGCAAAGTCTGACAACGGAACGCGCCTGGGGCTACGACCTCCTGGGCCGAGGATCGAACCCCCCCACCCTCCCCCTCCTCGGCAGAGGCAGCGCAACTCAGCAGCGTGGAGTCCCCCGCCAAACTGCCGGCTCGGCGAGCGGTGCAGGTGGTGCCATTACCAGAGGGGCACGGGGGGCACAAGCGGAACGTTCCCTGGCTGCGCACGAGACTGCGTGCCGTTTGAGAGGTCGCAACTTCCCCCCCACAACCACCCCCACCACCGCGTCCGGTCCGCCGGGCCGGGCCGGGCCCGTCGCACGAACACTACGCAGGTTTTCCGCAAAAAGAAAAAATTATAATTGCGCGCCGTGCCGCGCGTGCACCGGCCCCATCGGTCATCGCCGGCGGATCGGGCGCCGCGACGCGACTCGCAATTAAGGCGATGGGTCGAGAAATCCCGACGTGTCCCGCATCCCCAGCGAGACGCGTGCCTTTAATTAGACCTGCTCAGTTTCCCCGGGGGGGGGCGGGGGGGGTGGCGGTAGATGGCGACCTTAGAACATTATTGGCGGACCGGCACGCACCGCTCCCGGCCAACCCGCCGGCCAATCGCGCGCGTCCTGCCCGAGGAGTCGCGCTTCCTACGACGACGACGGGTGGAGTGCGACTATCGCGAACAGGAGCACCCGCGGTGGCGACTTTTGGCGGGAGAGAGAGCCCCCCCCCCCTCCCCGAGAGGGATATTTGGCCTACTCTTCCACGCTCGGAGGAGGCGGGAATACATCTCGGAAGAGGTGGCAAACACCCACGCTTGACCCTCGGCGCGTGACCTTGGGTCGGCCAACTGCGGTGGAACCCATTTGGCGGAGGCGGTGGATAGGGGGAGGTCGAATCGGACCGCTGACCTCCAGCTCGCTGACCATTTACACACCAACAGGAGCGACCCCGGAAGGAGGAGGAGGAGGAGTGAACGTCGTGTCCGCACTTGAGATCATCTCGCTCGTAGGGCTCTAGTGACCCCGTGGCCCATACCGGACTTCTGTGAAAAAGAGCTTCACGGCTCATCGGATTCCTCCTCCAGTCTACATTCTGATTATGATTCTACTGGTGGTGTGTGAGGCCGGCGGCGTGGCTCCTTGCTGTTCGAGTAACTCTGCCAGATATAGTTCTTTTTGGGGGGGGGGGGGTGGTGGGTGCCACTACGTAATCGCTGGCCGGACCCATCAATGGGGCACATTATGGCCCAGTGTTCTATAACAGTAAATTGTCCCGATTGTGCACATTTAAAAAAAGAATATCCTTCAAGGATTAGAAGCAGCAGGACAAAAAAAACCCCCAACACACCCCCACCCACCACCCCCATCGTAACAGACAAAACAAAGTGAGAGGGAGGTCGGCTCACAATAGCGGAATGCTGCCGAAACCCACAGACTGCCCCTTCAGCAGTCTACCTCGGGGACAAGCGATTATTTAGCTGTAAAAAAATATATATTGGCGGAAGTACAAGACGGCTTTCATCTCACGCTTGGCTCGCAAAATTGCAAGCACACAGCGCGAGATGGGGGGGGGGGGTATGTGGGGAGCAAGGAGGGGGGGCAAGGGGGGGGTGGAAATCGTCATCGTTAGACGATAAACCCCCGTCGCCGCGTTCGGCAATCAAAGCCACCGCCGCTCATTCCAGGTGGCTGCAACGATAACATAAAAAAACCCACTAGAATCGTAAATGCATAATGGGACTTGCTACTAATCAAACTCCTGCCGTACGTTGCGTGACGGAGCAGCGGGTTTTTTGCGACCTGCCGACAGATTGCGCGGTTTTGCGTTTGAGAATGTTTAGCGAGCGAATGCCTTATAGGGGAAACAAATACTAAATAACTGATTACTAACGTAGCATATAATTACAATGACACACATTATAATCGATTACTAATCTACAACTCACATCGTAACAATTGACTGATTACCAATCTAGTATATAATTACAATACCACCCCCCCCTCCGCCTCGAATCGTTGCACCTGATGAGTTCAATGATGACGTCACCATGCTGCTGCTGCTCTATTTAAGACCGGGAGACAGAGCAGAGCCTCACCATTCTGGCGAATTACCCGACGATGCTGGATGCAATTACCAGCGAAACGTCGTGCTACTCAAACATTGTAAATGTTGTGGTTTCACTCTTCAACACACCGGTGGGCTAAAGCAGTGAACTATTTGTCTTTTGTCAGCGTGACACTTTTTTGCTGATTGGCCGTGTCGGGTGGTGGAGGGTTACGACACATTTTTTAATAACGGGATCTAACCCAAAAACGTTTATTATGAATCATATTGGTCGCGAAAGCCTACGTGTTAAACTGAGCGAATGCCTCACTGTGGTTCCAAGGAGTCTCGGTCGAGAATTACCGTCACTCTCGATCAGCGACACGAAAGGGTGATGCGCGTTTACAACAATGTTCCCCCAATCTCCAGCACTCTTGTGACGCACTCCCCCTCGCCACGGCGTGCCTTTGCTTCTTCACCGTTCGCTGCGAGCTACGCTGGTTGCCGGTGACTGAGTGAATCAATTTTTGGTGTCGTACGCCTTCTTCACGAGGCCCTAAACGAGCTGGCCTGGTGGGATAACATGTTCAGTGATACAATGTTCAGTGATCAGATGTTCAGTGGTCAGATGTTCAGTGATAAGATGTTCATTGTTTAGATGTTCATTGTTTAGATGTTCAATGATAAGATGTTCAGATGAGCAGCTCACTATCGAAATGTTTGCGAGTTCAAGTCTTGGTTTGGATTTCACTCATCCCAGCATACCTTTTGGGGTCGATAAAATAAGCAACCACTCAATGGACACACTCACCCCTGCCATAGGAATGGGAATGGCGACAGCTTGTAGAGACAGACAGATCAAGCCCGTTGATGATAATGATGATAATAGACACAATTTCAACCCAGAAGATGGGTACAAACTGACCAATCGTTGGAAGGACGTTATCAACCAGTTCAAGTCATAACTGGCTGTGATGTTTCCATCCAGCCACCATTGCTCGTTTTCCTCAATGTGGGGGTGGCTCTCCGATCTTACATTGACATGCTAATTTCTTTCACTCTAACATCACTAGCACCGCCCACTTCGCTTATGACCCTTGGCCTACACCCATTTCAAACCTTTAAAACAGCCTGCCTCAGCAGCTTCCCCGCTATTTTTTCTCCTGATGACGATTGCTTGTGTTGCGATCGAAACGTCGTAGTTTTTGGTTATTTTAGTTGAACCTATCTACGTGACTTTACCGAAAGACCCAAGAATATAATAATGATAATAATAACAACCGTGATGAAAGATCACTGAAAAAAGTCCCTGCATCAGCTATGCCACACATTCTTTACCCCCTCTCCCGCCCCCACAGAATCGACCAAGCTCCCGAACTCCCAAACCCGTGCACCTCTCCCACCGTGGCTCTCACCTTCGGAGCAATCCTCCCCGAGGATGCCCTCGTTGCAGACGCACGCGCCGTCGACGCACGCGCCCAGGCCGCTGCAATTTCTGGCGCACAGCACGCTTCCCAAGATCTGCCGATCCGTCTCTCGCACCACGACCTCCTCTTCTTCCTCCTCCTCCTCCTCTTTTTTCTCATCCTCCTCCTCCTCCTCCGTCTTCTTCTTCCTCCTCTCCCTCTCCTCTTCCTCCGGCTCCTCCCGGCCGTCGGCCACGTCGCACCGCTCGCCCGAGAAGCCCTCGTAGCAGCGGCACTCCCCTCCGACGCAGCGGCCCTGATCGTTGCAGCCGTCGGGGCAAGCGGCGAGCTGGCACGCGTCGCCCTCGAAGCCCTCGAAGCAGCGGCACTCGCCGCCCACGCAGCGGCCCTGGTCGCTGCAGTCGTCGGGGCAGCGGGCGCCGGCGAGGCGGCACGCGTCGCCCTCGTAACCGTCGGGGCAGAGGCACTCGCCGTCCACGCAGCGGCCGCGGTCGCCGCAGGAGGCCGGGAGGCACAGCGGCTCGGAGCAGTTGGCGCCGCCCCAGCCGTCGTCGCACGAGCAGCCGCACGCCTCCAGGCTGAAGTTGCCGTGGCCGCTGCACGGAGGGAGGTAGTCCACGTTGCCTGCGGCGGCGACGGTCGGTGGAAGGTGGGACGGTGGGGAGAACCACAGGTTTAAGTGTTGTTATTGGTGGTGGTGTTGTCGGTGTTGTTGGTGTTGTTGTTGGGGTTAATTTTGTTTAATCAGTGGTTGCTGACAGAGGCAGATCTAGAAACTTCCCAGGGGGAGGGGCAGTTCAAAAATTTATTTATTTTTAATATGGCCCGATATTAATCATTCAATGTATTTTCTCTGGTAAATACCAATAAAATAATATTGCTTTCTAGGTCTCAAATGTCCGCCACTGTTATTGGTCGTGAATGGGACTAGTACTCGGGTCGCCGGGTTTGTAGCGCAATACGCTAACTACTCCTATACCCGCTCCAGTAACCACCACGATACCGCTGATCACACTGCCATTCGCCACTAAGTGGCGGTCACTTCACCACGACGCTTGTGCCAGTCTATGTGCACTTTAAGACCACGTGAAGTGTCGAACGCCCGCTGGAAGGAGGTCACAGGGCAGACCCAGGTTCCATAGGTTGACTGACTGATGCTCATCAAACATACACACGTACGCACAAGTTGAGTCATGACCTGCAAAGTGAATAGAGCATTCTGGTGACAACTACTACTATAACCCCCTCCAATAACCACCACCAACTACTACTATACCCGCTCCAATAACCACCACCATACACACACACACACGCACCTAAAGCTGAGCCATGACTTGTGCTCAGACTGCCCCCGAACACCACCGGAGCGGACTTGCATTGGAACGACGCACGCGGATCACGCGGGCACAACGGGACCCAGGAGTTGCATTCCTGCGGGCGCTGTCATCGGCCCCCTCTCGCGCGCGACCGGTGCGAAATCAAAAGCGGAGATCTGGAGTGCGTCGCCCATGTCCGTCACCCCGGAGCTGCTGCGTTTCGCCGAGGGAATGCAACCCGAGAGGGACGCCTGGCAGAGCATCAGTCCCCTCCTCTCCAGAGGAAGCCCTCGCCAGGTCACTGTGGGTGCCCGGTGTTTATACTCCTCAATACATGCGTGTGTGTGTGTGCGTGTGTGTGTGTGCGTGAGTGTGTGTGTGTGTGAGTCTGTGTGTGTGTGTGCGCCTGTGTGTGTGTGTGCGCGCCTGTGTGTGTGAGTCCGTGTGTGCATCCGTATTTGTGTGCGTGTGTGTGTGTGAGTGTGTGAGTCTGTGTGCGTGTGTGTTTGTGCGTGAGTGTGTGTGTGAGTCTGTGTGTGTGAGTGAGTGTGTGTGTGTGCGCGCCTGTGTGTGTGAGTCCGTGTGTGCATCTGTATTTGTGTGTGTGTGCGTGTGTGTGCATCTGTATTTGTGTGTGTGCGCGCGCCTGTGTGTGTGTCTGTGTGTGCGTCTGTATGTGTGTGTGTGCGTGTGTGTGTGTATCTATGTGGGGAGCGGTGGTGCAATGGTGAGCATGCTGCGATACGAACCAGGCGACCCGAGTTTGATTTCTGCTCCAACACCTGTGACGATTATCTGAATCAGTTCTGGGCCTCTCTTAGGTCGACTCAGCCTCAAATGAGTACCTGATGTGGTGTGTAAACATCGCCACTGGGGATGCTGGGCATGGTGCTGGCTACCCACCCCCTCGTGTACCGTACCGGCCTTCATAAGTGTTCGCTAACAGCACTTGCCCCAACAGTGTGTTGAGGCTATATGGGGGAACGTTGGCTTTGTGCGTATGCGTAGTGACTCAACTTAGATACATCTGTATGAGCAAGTAGCTCATGGCAATACGATCCTGGCTATATGTCTTCCCGTGTTATCAATATCACATCCTGGCCTCGAGTTAATACCTGGTACAAGTTCAAATCATTAGCACCGGTAAGAGACAATGGCAGCGTCGATGGGGCATGGTCTACGTCAGCCTGTACGGTACCTAGTCTGACACCTATAGATGAGAGTTGAGAGATATGAGAGAGTGTGGTGGGCAGCAGAGTGAGACGACAAGGGAGAGCTATCGGAAGGTATTCATCCCCTGGACTTAAGAGACCGTAGATCTAGCGTGCCAGAGCATCCATCCACCTTCTATCTAAAGGGCTCAGTTTCTCACTGAACATCTTTCCCGGCGCCGCCGGTAGGCCTGGAGCAAGTGGCACACGATCCGCAACCAGCGACAAATCTCAGCCGCGGCGAGAGGTGTACTGGATGCGTCGCGCCGGGTTTTTACGAAGCGGGCCTCCCCCCGATCGAAATTGTTCCCCGTCCTCTCCCGCCGCTCGCTACCTGCGGAGGCCGCCGAGGCTCCGGCACCGCCTGCGCCGCCCCCGCAGCAGCCGTAGCCGTTGCTGTTGCCGTTGGCCGTGCACTGCTGGCGCAGCGCGGACACCTGGTGCTCGAGCAGCTCGATGCGGCTCAGCAGCTGGCGCAGCAGCGGCGAGTCGTGGTCGTGGTCGTCGTGGTCGCCGTGGCAGCCGCACGCCTTGCGCGGGATGCTGATGCGGTGCGTGAACACGATCTGGCTGTCCGAGTCCTCCGTCTGCTCCACGAACATCGCCGAGCCTGCGCGGCACGGGGGGTGGGGGGGGCGGAGGCGGGGAGTGTGAGGGGGGGGGGGCGAAGTGAGGAGCGATCGAGGGATTGCGCCACAGTAACAGTGACTCGGCGGTAGAGCGAGCGGCTCGCAATCCTTGAGTTGTGAGGCCATATCTTGGTTGGGGGTTGACCCAGCCCATCGTTTTGGGGTCGATAAAACTTACACCACTTTTGCGGCGAAGTCAGCAGTGATTGTCTGATGGGTACACTCGTCCCCCGTCATAAGAATGTGGAATTTCCACCCCTGGCTCAGGGCTGTAAATGGGTGATGATCACTGCCTTCGTTTTACTTTGGGCAGACAATCACTTTGAGTCTTGGCTTTCCATGAGAATCGTGTTATCTTAGTAATGTCATCCTGGTTATTCATTTTTTATGATGCTACTGCTGACGACGAGAGAATAACTGCTGAAAATGATGATGGAATGATGATATTCATAATCCTATCACCATCATCTCCAATGAAGAGGCTGATGATGATAATAATCATCATCATTATGAATGATGGATCATCCATTCACCGACAAGGCCAAACATCCAAGTGCAGGGCCCTCCTGAATTGTAGACTCCGTATTTCTGACCCAGCAAGGCTTTGCTCGAGAAATAATGGGCATGTATTCGTTATTATTACGTGTGTGTATATATACATGGTTCAGCACTCATATTTCTGAGATGGAGTTCAACACTTAATTTTTCACCAGATCAGAGAGTCACAGCAATAACCACACCTCGCCGTCTACCCACGCTCCCAGACCGCCAGAGCCGACGCGCAGTAGACGCGGCGACCTTCAAAGTTCCGTCCTGACGGGACTCCCTAGGCACCGGGCGACCCACGTGACCACAGTTGGGAGAGTTCTGCATCTTGCGCGCGTCGATTTGCAAAACTGGAAGTAACCTTTGCGTCCCGCTCAACGTCCGACATCTGTTTGCTTTTCCAACGTTCATCCGCAGGTCAGCTGGATCCATTCGTCGAAAAAACTTTGAGCGCGAATTTCTGGCCCATGACGGTCCACCCCCCCCCCCCCCCCGTTTTGGATCGCTCTTTGTGTCTCTGGGATTTGCGTGCAACTGTTCTCATGCCGGCCCCCAGTCGCTCTTGACCTGAATTCATCATTCTTGAGCGGCCCCGTTCTTGGCACTTTGCTGCTACGGTGTTCCCGTTACGCACTTGGCCCTTCACGTTTTCTCGACCCGTTTGGCCGCTGCGACCGAAGCCTCGTCGGAGTCCGTCAGGCTCCTTCCTCACCCCCTCCCCCCCCCCCCCCCGATGGAAAACTTTTGGCTGCGATGCGGACCACGCCAAAGACGGCGACAAACGTTCGCAACAACAACAATAACAACAATAACAACAACAACAGCCAGATCGATTTGTGGACGCTGCCAATGTATCGTCTCGTGCCGCATCATCCCCCAATTGATTTCCACTCTGCTCAGCGCGAAGGCATTTGGCAAAAGGCACCGGTGCAGGAAGCAATTGATTACTCGATCAAGCGCGCAGGCAAAGCACCCATCACGAGTCGTGATGACGGCCAGAGGTCGAGGAGCAAGGAGGGAGTGGCAAGCGGAGGAGGGAACGCTCCGGTGAGCTCCGCTCGTGTGCTAACAGCACTTGCCCCACCAGTCTGTTAAAGGCTATACGGGGGATCGTTGTCTTTGTATACCGTGTGTGTGTATATATATATATATATGTACACAGCCACGATGGAAAATATGACCCAATGTCATTTTAATGGCAAGCCCGGGGCCGTGTCCCTGCGGTGCGGTCAGGTGAGCAGTGGTGCATCGAGGCGTAGCGAGCAGGGCTGGGGGGGGGGGGACAACAGCCGCTACGCCACGGACCCCACGGGGATAGGGGGGGGGGTACGAGGAGGCTGCTTCCCATCACCCAGCTAACGAGGGCTGTGCAGCGTGCAAGTGAGAACTATGAGGAATGCTCCTAACCGACTGCCACGTACTCACTCTCCTCTGCCCCCCTCCCCCCACCCCCCTATCGCCCTTGACTGACCACCTGCTTCAACCCCGGGGTTGTTTTGTCATACTTCACCATGTGGGATGGTGACACGCGGTTCCGGCAGGTGGGGGGGGGGGGGAGCGCCCGGCACCGGTTTAGATATCACTCGCTACCGATGTCAGCCGTGGCTAGGAATGGAACTCAGGTCACCAGGTTCGTAGGGCAGTGCGCTAACCAGCGAGTCGCTGCCACACAGTGCAACATTAGCGGAGGATTATTCACTCACTCAACTATTCACCCACCCACTCAACTATTCACCCACCCACTCACCTATTCACCCACCCACTCACCTATTCACCCACCCACTCAACTATTCACCCACCCACTCAACTATTCACCTACCCACTCAACTATTCACCCACCCACTCAACCATGCACCCATCCACTCACCAATTCACCCACCCACTCACACACCCATTAAGCCACCCACCCACTCACTACCTCACCCACCCACTTACCCTGCCACCCACACCATCTCTAACCCAATCACTCACCCACTCACCCACCCACCTATTCACCCACCCACGCAATTTCTCACCCACCAATTCACTCATCGGAGGATCGTTTTTTTTTTGTTTGAGGGCAGCAATACTACCATTGGTGGTCAATGTGGATAAGACTAACACGCCACTGCTTGCCTGTGCTGCTCCACCCCCATGGGCAATGGCACTGCCGATGCAATGTCAATCCTTTCACAGTTTCCCCAACGAACTGGAACCAGAACCAGGCAGGTACTCAGCGCAGGCATCACTCGCCACTGCCGTCAGCGAGCTATATCTAAAGAGGTTCAATGCGCAATGCGCAAACCACTGCGCCACCACTCCACCCATTTGTTGAAGCTCACTAGACAGCCATCCAGTAACACTATCCAGTCCCGTACCTCTCACCCTGACCTCACTGCTCTCACTTCACCCGCCCACATTTTATTACTTGTATGAATTTCATTCTTCTCCTCCCTCTCACGAACACACATTTACGCACGCGCACGCACGGAAACGAGCACAAAGACAAAGGTGTCCCCTATAGCCATGCTGACTGTTAGGGAAAGTACCGTTCGTGAGCACGTATTGAGGCCCTCGTTGGCACACGATGGGGTGGTGTGGCCAGCACCTCGTCACTGTGCTGACGTTTAAGCACCGCAGCAGGTGCTCATTTAAGGCTGAGTTGACCTCGGGGAGGCCCAGGACCAGTTCAGACAATCGTTACTGGTGTGGGCGGTGAGCGGGAATGGACCACAGGTTAATAGCGCGGTGCGCTAACCACTGCACTACCGGTCGCCCACAACGTAAATACAAAGACATGCAGACACACACACACGAGAACACGATGCACGTAGCCCCCTGTGCCCCACCACCCATCTCCCCGAGGCTCACCCGCTGCACCTCCCGCGTCGATCGGCGCCGACCCGGCACCTGCACTGCCTCCGGCGGCACCGGCGGCACCGGCGTCAGCGGCGTCTCCATCCTGGGGCGCCGCTCCGCAGAGCGCGCTGGCCGGCATGTTGATGGTGTACACGTGGTTGTAGACGTGGGGGTGACGCCCGCCTCCCGCGTGCACTGGCTGGGAGCCACCGCCACCGCCGCCGCCGCTGCTGCTGCTGCTGATGGTGCCACCACCACCACCGCCGCCGCCGTTATTGTTGTCGTCGTCGTTCCCGAGTTCGAGGCTGGTCTCGACGCTCGAGTCCACGTCGCGCCGCAGCCGTTCGGTGAGCACCTGCGGCGTCAAGACGACGAGGAGGTGGAGGAGGTGGTGGAGGACGCGGCAATAACACAACGGGCTCGCGCTTGGTTCGACGTGCGCCGCAAGTAGCCAACCGTGCTTAGTGGAGGTGGCGGGCGGGAGGGACAACAAACTGGACACAACGTGCGCCTCGGAGGCACGCGCGGGACGCGTGGCCCTGGGCTGCCCGCCCCCCCCCCGTGGCTGCCCCCCACCCGGGCTGCCCCCCGCCCCATGGCTGCCCCCCCCCCCCCGTGGCTGCCCCCCCGCCGCTCCATTCGAAGCTTTCTGAACGAGAATATAAACAGAAAGCACCTCCTTCACACGTGACTGAGCAACTCACGCGCGGAAAGCACCCAGGCTCGTGAGATGACATGAGCCAAGCATAGTGCGTGGATGCACGTGTGTGTGTATATGTGTGTACATATACTGAACGTCTTTCGCACTGTACGTAGCCAACCGTGCTAATCCACGGATTAATGACAACCATGCTCATCTACAGGTTCCGCAATGTCCCTCGAATGGTGCCGGGCCGGCGAGAGCGACTCTCGCTATCACCGTGACTGACAGACTGACTCACAGATGGACGTAATGGTGTGGTGGTCGACTATAATTCAGGAATATGTTTCTTCTTCTGCTTAATGATGCCTCAAACCCGGGGCACACGTGCTGCGTGCACGCGCAGCCGTATTTTCACTCCACTGCTAGATGAGGGCTTCCATTGAGGCGGGTCGGTGAAGGCGACGCGACCAGAGCCGTGGCGGGGAGCGGCACAAGTCCCGAGTGGAGTCCACGGCGCCCGCTACGCCGCACCGCCCTCTGCTGCCCGCCACGTCGCCCCGTGAGCGGCCTCTCAACAACAACAACAACCCGTGGTGCCTGAGGGGGGGGGGGGCTGGGCTATTCCGGGGCTCAGCTCCTGCTTGGAGCCTACCTCGACCGTCCAACGAGATTGAGCATCTTGAGTGGCATCGGCCTGATGTGATGTCAGGCGTTCGCGGGTGGTTGAAACCAAATTGAATGGGAGAAAAAAAAACTTAAGTTTCTGGGTTTTTGTTAGTTTTTTTATTTGATGGGGATGCCTCTTTGGCTCAGAAGGGGTCTTGTTGATCCCGTAATGGAAGGTTGCGGGTATGCGGTGGCTTTGCCGCTATACAGGATGAGCAGCAGAGGCCGCCTGCCCGTGTTCTCTCTCTCTCTCTCCAGGATGTAACCGAGAGCCGCGCTCACACGGGCAAAGCCACCTGCACACGCGGAATTTCCGATGGCGAGAACGCTGCACGTGTCTGTGCACGTTTTGAAAGGAGGGGAATGAACAATGAAGGTGGGAACCGCTAGGCAGGGTGAGCGAAAGTGTGTACATCACCTGGACAATTGGAGATTGACCTAATTGGGCAGTGTTCTGCACGGGAAATACCCCTGCTACCCGCTTAGCGTAAATCCCCAGAGTAAAGAATTGACCGCAGAGAAGTTGGATTGCGGTTGACTGCCGCGGGCAAAGCTGCGGTCAAGGAGATGACAGCGCACCCATTACCTGCTTGTAAACGCGCTCCATCATGCACCTGTATATGCAAACGCACAGGTACACACCTACACAAACATGCGGACACCAATGCTGTGGCCATATATTAGTAGAAAATATTTCAACTTATTTTCTCTAATAAATATTTTTTTTCAAAAACATCACTTTTCGGGGTCTCATCACCAGCCCTCCCGGGAAGCACCACACACACACCTATTTAACAAGGACAAAGATTCCCCGTATAGCCTGTAACAGACAGTTGGGGTAAGTGCTCTGAGCGAGCACTGATGGAGGTCGGCATGGCACAGGAGGGGGTGGGTGGCCAGCACCACGCCCGACCGCCTTTGTCTCCCCAGTTGCGATGTTTACACACTGCACTAGGCACTCATTTGAGGCTGAGTCGACATAGGCGAGGCCCAGAACCGGTTCAAATAATTGCCACTGGTGATAGCCGTGAGCGGGAATCGAACCCGGGACCCCGGGATCCGTGCACAGCGCGCTAACCACTACACTACCGCCCCCCCCCCACAAGTTCACACGCGCACACGCCTGCACACGTACACACGTGCACACGCCTGCACACGTGCACACGTGCACACGCCTGCACTCGCCTTTAATCGTGCACCTACACTCACGCACGCACCCGTACACCTGTACGCAACACAATCACACGTGCATGCAGCTGTGATAACCTTCACACACACACACAAACACCTGTCGAGACCTGCGTACACACAAAGATCCTGCGTATAGCTTCAACAAACAATTTGAGGCGCATGTTAAGGCCGTCAACGGTGCACACATTTGCACACAGACACAGGTGGCCACGTGGTGAGCGGTGGCCACGTGGTGAGCGGTGGCCACGTGGTGAGCGGTGGCCACGTGGTGAGCGGTGGTCAGGTGGTGAGCGGTGGGCACCTCCAGAGTTGCTCCCGCCGCAGTCGGTAGCAGCTGGGCAAGCACTGCCGCCATCGTGACTACGGTCGCCACCACCACAGCCATCGCCACACGCTCCCTGCTTCCCATCCCGCACTCTTCCTTTCGCTCTCCTTCACCCCCCCCGCCACCCGCGTCCTCCCTCCCACTCCCAACCCACTGGGCCACCTCTCCCTCGCTCCGGATCGCCTCGTGCACCTCCTTGGTCAGCGGCTGGCTCCTCCACGCTTGAGGTTCGAGGTCTCTGGGTGTTTGAGCTGCTCTGGCTCACTTCAGTGATTCTGTGCAGAGGCAATGGACATCAAACGTCGACATCACCATCGCCATCACCACCACCACAGTCATCATTATTAAGGGTTGCCACCCGCCCGGGTTTGACCGGGACATTCTGGGAATTGGCGTCTGTGTTCGTGTTGGCAGGAATTCATTTGTACCGAGATTTGACACCGGTGTTGCTGTGTTGAACTTTATTACTGTGACCTGGACAATGTTGATCACAGACCCGGTGCTCAGTTCGGAAGCATGCGCGGCTTTGGTTCACAGTGGGGACAGTTGGCATCCCTACCAGCCTATCGCCATTACCATCATGTGTAAGTAATGATCATGTTAAAGCACAGCCCCATCGGTTCAATCCGTGCGATGGATGATGGCATCCAAATGCCACGCAGGTCGCTGGTGGCTGTTTGACCATACTTCACCGCGCCGGTCAGTGCGGGTGGGGCGAAGGCAAGGTGCATAGACACGGGAACATAGAGGTACCGTACGACAATGCATTTTGCTGCAGCGCTGTCCACAATGTAGGGCCACAGCATCCTATAGCACCTGGCGTGCATGGCGGTCACCCGTTAAGAGCAACTATTTACACTCAACCCAATGACAATAACACTTTGCATATTGCTAACCTGCTAATTAACCAATGGATTAATGACTGTGTTTGGATATTCTTGGTTTTCACACCTGATGATGATTGCTTGTGTTGCAATCGAAACGTGAGAATTTTTTTATTTTTTTATTTTAGTATTTCCCTTCTACGTGACTTTACCGAAAGAACCAAGAATATGAATCCCTGCAGTCACGAAAGCTTTACATCGAAATGTGTTTGGATAGTTTAACAAATACTGTAATACAAATTATCGTGAGCAAATCATCCGCAATGCGACCGGGTCTCGTCAGATCTTGGAAGCTAAGCAGGTGTTGAGCCTGGCTAGTGCTTGGATGAGCGGCCACCCTGCATTGCAGGTGTTACAGGCGATGGGTCGCACGTGGTGGTCAGTGCAGTGAATTCAACTGATGCATCGTCGTATGTCCACGCTCCCAACCTTCATCTATCGATCCGCTGAAACCACCTTGGTGAAGTATGGCCACATAATCCTTCACCCCACGAACTTGCACGGCTTGGGGAGGCCCTCATCCAGCAGCGGATTGACCAAAGAGCGGTATTGAAGCACTGCGTATAGACTGTACACCTTTGTAAGCCTCAATCACATCAACATTACTCTCGATACGTACTGCACTCTGAGTCTCAAAACAAATGCATTGACTTGGCCTGTGTTGAACCCGAATCAAATAGAGAGATACATTACACAGTGGCGGCTTGCAAGGTTAGGGAAATTATCCAGCAATTATCTCCACTTTTCCGCATTAATCATTCATACGCCCACGTTCTTTAACCATCTGGATGAGTGTACACAACGCAGGGGACACGCGCGCGACCACTCGTGTTATGCACACGCACACGCAATACACACAGAGACAAATACCCCCCGTATAGCCTTCAGAGACAAGTGTTTTTAAAGGAGCACCTATGAAGGCCGGCACGGCACAAAATCGCAAGGTTTTGGCCAACACCACGCCCGCCCGCCCGCCTTTGTCTTCCCCCCAGTGCTGATGTTTACACACCGCACCAAGTACTCATTTGAGACTGAGTCGACCTAGGGGAGGCACAGTGCCGTTTCAGATGTACGCCAATGATGTTCGCCATGGCCGGGAATCGAACTGGAGGCTTCGTAGCGCACCACGTTAACTAACCACGACACTATCGCTCCCCACATTCATACACTCTCATACAATGTACGACACCCACACAATGCAAAGACAAAGAGCCCACAATGCTTACACAGACCACACAATACACACTCGCATTCGCTCATACAAACATACACACACACAATGCACACGCTCACGCGATACGCACACAAAATGCGCTCGCAACGTACAGCAGCCTTCAATGCATATGGATGAACGCGCCCGGGGCTCATAGAGCCAAACTAAGGTACACTGACCTAATTTCCGCGGTAGCAGCAGCAGCAGTAGCTGCAACGCACAAGCACGCGATGCGTGACTCTTAAACACGCGCCGTTCTGTGCAGATGTATTACAGAAAAGAGTTCCACGGCATCAGAATCACAGAATTTACCGTCGGGTGGACAATACTTGCGGGTATTCTGAATTCCTGCAGCTCACGGAGCTCCGTCCACGCTCTGTGCTGGAGATGGAGCTCCGTGGATGCTCTATAATGTATCCCCATGCCTCATCCGCGAAGAAGCTCCTCCATGCATGGGCTGTGATGGAGCCCGTCAATTTACTCTGCGGTGGATGCTAAGTAGACACTTTGTGGTGGAGCGTGGTGTTATGCCCTCTGACGGAGCTCTGCACTTACTTTGCGATGGAGCTCCGTGCTTGGTCGTACCTCCAGGCAGTGCAAGTCTCCTCCCGCAATCGCAAAGGGCTTTTTTGTTAAAGCGGTGTCCCCGTGTCCAGGACGTGAGCGCGTGCCCCGCGTTTTTGTTTCCTCTCTCCCCCAACGATGCAACTTCCTAGCGGCCTCCCCACTCCAGCTCCGTCGCACGACGGCTCTGAGAGACAGCCGCAGGTCCACTCCCTACCCAAGGCGCCCCCCCCCCCCCGGGTCTCACACACCGCCCTGACATCACTACTTTGGCGTGGGTGGCGCTAAGAGCCACGATCGACTCAACTTGAGGCATTCCCCTGAAATTCCTTAACCCCTCACCGTGGATTCACTCGAAGGCTTGCGGTCACATTTTTCCGGCTTTCTAGTCGCGCGTCACGAGAGCTTTCCGACCCGCTGCTTAACGCGGCGGCGAATGCATGCAACGCATTTCTCGTTCAATTCACAGTCCCTCGTGTTTCATCAATTATAACGAAAAACAGGTCCGTGGCTCAAGTGCCGTTCAATCCAATATTCCCCCTCTTCGCTTCCCAACACCGCGCTCCACGCTCGCGTTCTTGGGCGATAAGATAATTCTAGAAACATGCGTTGAGATTATTTGGGTGATTTTGACTGATAGAAATTTCCACGTGAAAAGCCACTTCATTGAGCAATCATTTGTGACTGCCAGGTCGCTTTCTGAAAAGGAAACTAATAAGCTCAGTGGGCCTTACTTGGGAAAATTAAATAGTTTATTTGTTATGTGTTTAGTGCTTTGCTCATCATTCCTATACTTTGCACTCCTATCGTGTTTTGTGTTGTAACCATTTGACCGGTGCCTCCTAGATATCTGTGAAAAAGAGCTTCATAGCTTATCGGATTCCTCCAGTGTAGATACATATTCTGATTCTGGAATTCACCTTGCCTTACCCTACAGTGATGGCTTGGTGACACAGAAAACACAGCCACATAAAGCACACCCACACACAAGACATAGACCCCCCCCCGCCCCCCCCGTATACGCTTAAATATACTTTTGGGGAAAGTACTGCTGTGAAAGCCGGCACGACATTCGAGGGGGTAGATGGCCAGTACCACGCCCGGCCGCCTTTGTCTCCCCAGTAGCGATGCTTCCACACCACACCAGGTACTCATTTGAGGATGCCCAGGATCGGTTCATATAATCGTCACTGGTGGTATTGGTGGCAGTGAGCGAAAATCGAACTCTGTCCGCCGGATTCGTAGCGGAGCTCGCTAACCGCCAGCACCACCGCTCCCCACAAAGACAAAGATCCCCCGTATAGCCTTAACAGACTGCAGGGGCAAGTGCTGTTAGCGAGCATCTATAAAGGCCGGCACGGCACACGAGGGGTTGGGTGGCCAACAGCACGCTCGGCCGCCTTTGTCTCCCTCGTGGTGATGTTTACACATCGCACCAGGTACTCATTTGAGGCTGAGTCGACCTAGGGGAGGCCCCGGACCGGTTCAGATAATCGTCACTGGTGTTGGCCGTGAACGGGAATCGAACCCCGGGTCGCCAGGTTAGTAGCGCAGCGCGCTAACCGCTACACCATCGCACAACCGCACCCCACACACGCACGCAAAGAGACACGCACAGAATCACACACACAGAGACACACGCACAGAGTCACACACAGAGTCACACTCGTTGAGTCTGGCACGGGGCGCGCGCACACGCAGACACGCAGAGGCTGTCACGCAATGCCACCAACTCGACCCTATAAGAGACCCGCGTGCTAAGGAGAATGCGGTACTAAGGAGAATGCGGCCCTCAGTGAAGCTTTCCTGCTGCTGATGACGATGATTGAGGTGGCCAGAATGTGATAGTATAGACAGAGGATTAAATCCATCTGTACGGAGCTTGGAGTGTCAGCCCTTTGTACGCAAGCGGTGGGGGGTTTGCTCCGGGCTACTGCGGTGATGCCCCATCCACATTAATGGGATCGGCCAAACATCCCAAATGTATAAGGACCCTCTTGAAAATGGGTCGTGAGATTCCTGGACAAACAAATTACATTATTGTACAGCCGGTTGCTATAGAGACCAATGTGAAAACCACTAAACAATAAGCAATCCAATTACATCAGTGTAAAATTAAACCTTAATTACGGAAAGATCTTTTCAAATTACCCCACCCCCAACTCCCCCCCCCCCTTCCTTATTCAACCGAGCAACCACGTGATGTCTCGTGCATCTAACATGGCCAAGCAATGGGCACTGAATTAGCTGGACACGAGTCGGGTGTGTAGGGAGTGCAGGATCTATGAGGTGTGCATCCCGTGTAGCGGGGGGTGTAGGGCGTTGAGGGTGTGCGGGGGGTGTATGGGGTCCGGGATGTGCTGGGTGTGTTGGTTACAGAACGTTGGGGAAGCGTCGTGGCGTGGGTGGTGAAGCGAGACACCAGGGAGCCTGTGTGTGCGTGTCGAATGGAGCCACGCGAGACCTCAGACAGCCACTCGCGGAGTCGTGGAGACGATGAAGACAAACACGCTCTCTCCCCGTCTTGCACGTGGGTGTATCTCCCCCCCGCCCCTTCTCTGTCGAATGTCTCCATCTCGCACTTTCCACCAACACGCTGCACATTTCCAGCCCCTTTGTCAATTCACTGCCGGATGAGGCCTCGCGACACCGTCTCGGATGTTGTGGTTGTCTGGCCATACCTCACGGCGCTGGCCGGTGCGGGTTGATTAAGGATTGGGTCCAGGACCGGTTCAGATATCGCTCGCCACTGATGCGAGCCGTGACTGGGAATCAATTTAGATTGTTACAACAAAACATATATATATATACACCCATGCTTCTCTGCCCCCATCTCCCCCCAAACTCTCCCCCAGCCCCCTTCCCATCCCCCGTGAGTCTACCTACCCTACCACCTACACTCCAATAATTAATAGCGTGCCTACGCTCACTCCCCTGTGCATCCCCAGCCCGGTCCGATCAAACACTGGGAATGTCACCTGGCCGAGACTGTTACAAAGAAGCACACACGCACACACACACACACGCACACACACACGCACACACACACGCACACACACACGCGCATACACACACGCGCATACACACACGCGCATACACACACGCGCACACGTGCGCGCGCACGCGCGCGCGCACACGCGCGCGCACACAAGCGCGCGCACACACGCGCGCACACACGCGCGCACACACGCGCACACACACACATGCGCGCACACACACGTACACACATGCGCGCACACGCACACACACACGCACACACACGCACACACACACACACTCGCGCACATCACCGCGGGAAACACAGCGGCCCTGAGCCAGAAAGCGGAGCCGTGTTTTGCCATTCCAGTACAGGTGAGAGTCAATACTCCAGTCGCTACCTTGTACAAAATATGTAAAAACAAACAAGCATGGTATCGTGTTTCGCCCGTATATGTAATTAGAACAAAGATCTTAATTGACTAAATTTTACACGCTGGCTTTCGAGACCCATATTTATCATCCGTAATCGATGTTTTTTTGGTAATTGCCTGATGATGTTGTTTGGAACTATCAGCGAAACGTCCGCACCCAATTGTTAAATGTTGAGTGGATCGTTCTCCGACAACAACAAAAACAACGCACCGGTGGTGCTGCTGAAACATTGCCACGTTTCTTGACGAGACCACTCGACTAATCGGCTGTGTCGGGTGGAGGAGGGTTTACGACACGCACTTTATTTACGCGATCTGACCCAAATCTATTATGAGACCTCCATTTACGATGATTGACGCTCAGGGTGAGAGCTGTAGGTAGGTAGGGTTGTTGCTCGCTAACAAGACATCGGGAGGAATTCATTTGTCAAAATTCCACATTCCCATATCAGAAATTGGATACGCACAAGACAAGCATTGCTGATTTACAACAAACCGGTATTCATTGTCTGGCAAGCCAAGAGATTATGGTCACGGTTGTGATAATGCAGCGAGGACTCGCCGAGTCTCAAGACACATTTCAAAGAGGGTCCCGCATGGACACGTTTGGCCGATTCCATTTAGAGAAGAAACCAGAGTACCCCGTTAAAGACCCACCACGCAAGCGATGAAATGACGCTCAAAGCTTTGCTTTATATATATCCGCGTTCACAAACCCCACTTTCTGCAGGATTTAATCAACTTGCCCGTTCCTTCAACTGGCGTCCTGACGGTCCAACTCCGCTCACCATTTTACGCTGCAGCGGCAGCGTCCGGCTCGGGCCATCGAGCAAAGACGACGGCGATCACCGCACCACCGTCGCGCGGCGCTTTCAGACGCGCTTCTGGCCGACGTTTCGAACGCTCTTCCTTCCGATGTTAGTAAGCCACTGGAGCGATGCGCTTTTAGATAATCGTCATCTGGATTGAACAGCTTTCTGTGCGCCAGTTCGTTGTCCTTCGCCCCGCACCTCTGATTATCGCGGTTGGCTACGTACGGTGCGAAAGAAATTCAATATACATACGTACAACGTAATGTAAACTTACGCAGCGGACGCAATACAAACGCAGCGCATACACCTCGCCTACCTCTCGTCACGTTCCCTGCTCCTCCTCGATCGCCGCCTTCATCCTCCCTCCCTCCCTGCCTTCCCCTCTCCCCATCCCTCCCTCCTTTCCATCATTTATTAAACACACGCACACACAGCATCCCCACTAACCCTCCCCGGCCACCTGTAACTCAAGCGCAGGTAAGCGGGCAGGGATGCAAGGACACGCGATACGAGGTGCGTGCTTGGCACGGGGAGGAAGATTGACGGGCGCGCGCTGAAAGATTCATGGAGGCACGCAAATCTCTCTCCCCCCCGACTCCCGGCTAAGCCGCCCACAAAGAGTCATCGCTCATCGCAACGCGGAGCCCCGCGTCCCTTCGGGCAGGTAGAGACGGGTGAGGCAAGGGCGCTGGACATGACCCAACCGTTGTTGGTTTCTTGTTGTGGTTGTGGTTGTTGTTGCTACTCCCGCTGCTCCTGAGCGCCGTTGTCTGGGCTTGATCGCCTGAATGTGAAGCGCTGATGATGTGGATGCTCTGCATCCACATCATCAGCGCTACGAGGTGTGTCGTTTGGTGTATAGTTAGCCGTGGATAGGAGTTCAACTCCTCACTGCGAAGTGTGTTAACCACAGCACCGCTGCTGTATCCCTCGCCTAAGTCGAATTGGC